CAAACTCATGTACAAAGTCAAGTGTCAAACTCACGTTCCATGAAAACGCCATCACACAAGTTTTTGAAATTTTTTCAAATGTTTGAAACGGCTGTTTTTTCACAGCGACGAAATGTGGGATACCGTGATCCTAAAATAATGAAAAGAGATCAATGATTCGCTCGATACTGTAAATCTGCGTTGAAGCCAGTCCCACGAAACGGTTCCTGAAGCTCCTCGAGAGACTATACGACAAGAGAGTTATCTACAATCAGAAGTGAGGGACATTTTTAGGCACCCTTTATAGTTGACCATCTTTGAAAATGGCCACTTCGCTTGGGTGGCCCAATATCCCTTCAAAAATCGCTAAAACCTGGCATCGAGGGGTTAACTGATATAATATTCAGAGTATTCAATTGATGACGCTTGGTAGAAACTTAATGTCATGCTGCTTAAAGTAGGCAAATGATACTGAGGGGGGGGGGGGGAGGTGGAGGTATTGATACAGAACTCAAGGAGGGGCGAGGAGGTTGTATCCAGTGCTTGTATTCCACACCTCTTGCTCGACCACCCTGCTGATGACTCATTCTTGCTTTACACTACTCTTAAAAGCTCACGTAAACAAGCTTGTTTTTTGGCATAAACGGTCAATGCCTTTGTACTTTCGAATCAGCTAATCCATGATGATAGGCTTTTGCTACAAGACTGTTTTTGATTCGCTTTACCTGACAAACATCGCCATAGCCTGCCATTTGCTTGGCCATCTCAGATCCAGTTCTACGCAATGTGAAGTCAGTCAGCGTATTTTTTATTCAAATCCTAGAATTTGATCAATCTATAAAATAGAGTGGAACTCCATATAAGCTTCCAATCCATGTAAGCTGTATGCATACCATTAGATGCAGCATAAAACGCTGACTCTAAACCAGTCTTCCCTATCTGCGAAGCGCTTTTGTGGATGAGATTATAAGCATTCCAAAGTTATAATTTTGCTAAGATATTGTGCGTGTAAAGTGCAAACTTGGCCGTACAAGGCCATTCTCGGCTCAGTGCTGGACCAAAACCTGCAACTGGTCACCTCATATGAGCCCTACCTAGAGGTGAGTTGTAAGAGTGATAATGTGTCTAATTTCGCAGTAATTGTACACGACTTTTTCGCAGTAAAGCTGCCCATAACTTCGCCTACAAGGGTGCTCTGCAGATATGGAAGACAGATTTGAAATCTGCATTTTGTACTGCATCGAATGGTATGCAACTTGTATGGATTGGCCACTGCGACTTCTGACCATTTCCTTGTCAGCTGATAGCTGTTTAGTACCCACCTATATTCCTGTTCAAATATGCGCGTACCACCAAGCCAGTAGTAGCCTTTGTTTTTTTACATAGTAGTCGTAGCCTTTGTTTTTTTTACATAGTAGTCGAGTCTCTTGTAACGCAAGTTCCTTTCTTCATCGGTGCGGTCTTAATGCTGGAGAAGTACAATTTGGGGATTTAAAGCTTGGAAATAGTGTCAGTGTCGCCTTTTAAATCGTCGATATTGCAAAACAGATTGCTGATAGTGTGAAGATTTTGAAACGACTTGTGTAATTTCAGGTCCACGGATGCAGTATATTCAGAATTGAAAATTGAACTAACTAAGCTTATACAAGAAATGCCCTTTTTCTCCTTCTTGCAATAATCATAAAATCCGAATAACAGTTCATTAACGTCATCTATCTCAGTTAGGACTTCCCTTTTTTTGATCTTCCAGAATTTGTCAGAAGAAACTGGCAAAAGCTGAAATAAGTCATCTTTATAAGTTGAGTTCAAAGATTACAACTCAAAGTGAAGAACAAGTGGCAGAACAATCTGGAGTGGTAGTAATTTGGTCGAAACCATCGAATAAAGTGATGGTTCAATCATGGTTACATCGTGGTAAGCATGATCATCTTTTCACGGCCACTCAGTTCAATCGGTCATACAAAATCATGAAACAAGCAAGTAACTAGCAGAAAACCATAACTGTTTCATGCTTGTTTCATTCTAAACCAAACTATGAGTTAAACAGCAGATTAACACCATTGTTCCCTTATCAGATCGAGTAATGAAAACAGCACTTCATTTCATGAGACGCAGACGTGAAACCACCACATCATAGTTCAAAATGAAAAAGTACCCCCGACCACTTTTTCGTTTAAAACAATGATGTGTTGCTTTTGCAAGTTAAGAAGAGTGAGGGAGATCATTCTGCAACTTACTATGAGAAAGCTTACTTGTTTATAGCTTAGATAAGGTTATAGGAAGGTGCAAGGCTGGAGACCGAACTGCAAATTTGGTAAAGTGCAATGATTGCGGGCAAGCATGAGAATGGTTGGAGTTTCGATCTCCTCCAATGACTTTGCTTTGCAAGATAGCATTTCGTGGTTTCCTGTTGGTTAATTCGTGGTTTCGTTGGGAAAATGATGTGAAGCTGCTGGTTAGCTGGTGTCATAAAAACACAGTTAACATGATGGTTTCGACCAAAATACTACAACTCCTGGTCGTTGCATGTAAACATACTCTCACCATTTCTTGAGCTGGCAGACCTCAAAAGACAATGGTAAGAGAGGTAATGGCTATCACTGCTAATAGTTTGAGGTATTTGATAGGATTTTGATTGAGAGGCTATGTGAGGCGAACGAAAACTTATATGACACATTTTAGCATCATGAAATGTGCTTTGATCTGTGTAAACGTGCATCGATAGTTCATGGTTACTCGCAATAGTAGACATTCGATTTTTCATTTGTCCACCCCTGTTTGAAAAAATCCCATGTGGTCGTTTGTACGAATTTTGGATGGATGTACTTTTGAATTTCATGACGTATTTTGCTTGGAGATTGTTCTCAGATTTTTTGAAGTGTACAAAAGGACCACCTTAATGCTTAGCTCAGTCACCTCCATTATCTAAGTGCTATCGTATTCATGCAGAAGAACCATTCGAGTAGAAGAAGAAAGCAAGGAAATGCGGTTGCCAGAGATGAGTATACGACACGCGCGGTTGCACTATCGTCACGATTTCATGATTGCTCCACACTTAGATCGTCCACTAATGCAAATTTGACACATACCACAAAAAGGTAATATTGGTACTGTTTGTATCGCGCTATCGGGTAGTAACTTAGATGTACAATGTTTTTATTTAAGAATGAATTCAGAAGTATAGAAGGTCAAAAAAAATCATAAAGTGCAATAAACCAAATTTCTTATGATTCAAATATTGAAGGTATTTAAAGACGTTAATTTGATATAGCTGTGATGCAAAACAATTTCTTCGCTTTTTTTCAGTTTGTATTTCATAAAACTGGGATATGGGTTGGTGATTGTCTTTCTGCCCATTTATGGGCATCAGCGTCTACTCGTAGGTTATCCAACTTTTTGTAATAATTTGTAGATCTTACATAGGTCGTGAATTCATACTTTGTAAAAAATTTGGAGCTCCTCTCCTCTTTCGAACGACGCTTAAGCGCAAAGGCCCAAACAAGACCATGTGTTGGATTACAAATCCCTTATTTTCGCTTTAGGTCTTTTTCTTTGAGGATTTGCTCATATTACCATACCTGTTTTTTGGTGAGAACACAACGTCAAAAATTTGATTTTGAAGTTTAAGTCTGATTTTCTTGATAAAAGATTATTGAATTTTGAATGTCAAAGAGAAATCGCTTTGGAATGCACTTGGTGTTAAGCCGACATAGAGAGTTCGTTTTTCGAGCTGATTTTATTGCGAGCGCCGGAGCTGGGCGAGTTCAATGCTCCGCATCTCCAGTTTCCATCCCACCGCACCTACTGTTAAAAAAAGAAATGCTATGTAAGGAGTCGGGTTTCCCACCATTGAACGTGGTTTTAGCTACCACCGCCGCGGACATTGAAAGCTGTACAGACTGCTTTCCAGATTCACGCTTCAAAGCCCTTCCGTCACCTATTGTGAGCATCCGAAGGCCTTCACCGCTTTGGACCATCTACACATTAGCATCCCTACAATTTTCAGAACAAGTTCTTTGATGACTTCGAGGAGTTTGACCCAGCGGTCCTCTTCAAAACATAATCATAATCCAACCCCCAGTACGTTAAACTTAACCGCATAAATGTTTCATTATGTTAATGTTATATGGTATGTTTATTGATATGGTATGTTTATTGATTGTCGATTAAGAAAGTGGAACATTGCGGCTTAGCGGGTTCCATGAAGTAAATTTGATTACGACGAACTGTGAAAAAAAACGAGTCGATCCTAAAAGCGAAAACGTCGAAAAATGCTTGAGACGCCAAAAACCAGAAAGCAACCAAAATATTTTTTAAAAATATGGTTTTGGCGATAAACTCTCATTGGATTCTTGTCTGGTAGAGCAACACTCATCTTTCAAAACTCATAGAGTCGCAATATCTAAAATCATAATTTGCCACCTCCATAAAGTAAACATTCTCAACTTTAAAATTTTTACAGCTTTCTTATCTGCAATTTCAGTCTTTGTACAATGAGTTTCTTCTTACGTCTTGAGAGTTTGGAGCCTACCACGTTTACTGGAAATATTACTCTACTTGCACTCTTTCCAGCTAACGGCACTCTAGCAATTACATTATCGAGACGAATCGAAGCCACAAAATTTTTGGAGGTCGTGAGAAGTTTTGTTCTCCAGGACTATCGTAGCACTGGCGTAGAATGCAAGCTATTCTGGAATTCGAAGATGCACGAACAATAAAGCTCAGAAATTAAAAGTTATGAATTTGATTTGAATAACCGCGAGGAACACCACGCGAACAAAGTACAATTTGTTTCCTTAACACCTTTAGAACTGCCGCTGCAAACCTGTTCAACTAGTAACGTCTTTGAGCAATCAAAGTTGCGAGAAAGGTGCTCAAGCTTTAGTAAACTGCGTTATCGCAAGTAAAAATTTGTATCATTGCAAGGTTCAGGAAGGCGCAGCCATTTTACACAGCATTATGAGAAAATGGCTCAACGATAGTATTATCATGCCTAGAGCTAAACAGTTAAGTACACAACTATGGTACGATTCATTTCTATTCATTCTTGGCTAACTTCAGGCAGCATGATTTGTGAGTCTATCCATATCTCACTCCTGCCTTTAATGATGACACTGCCGTTTCTGGATTTGCAAGTGCACTGAAAATCTGCTTCCCTCTTAAATCACTTTCGCGGCAAAACTGCGTCTTCAATGCCTACTAATCAGCATCTTACAATTAGTTGGCAATCAATCTTCTTCCGAAGAGCAGATTCTTGTTTGTGATGAAATGTGAATGGTGAATCGAGATGCTGAAAGACTTGGCTGCGATTGGTTTATTGAATTCGTAATAGTCATACGGACGCACACAATTCACAAAGCTTCGTCCATGCATTACCAGTTTACTGGTGTCAAGTGTTATTAGTGTTATCCGTGTAGCTAGTGTTACATGTGAGATCAATGTTACCACTGGTAACCTTGTTACAGTTGTTCATTTTCACCGTTCGTTTTTTTTTCACTAATGTTTCGACATGTATGAAGGCCTTGCCACAAAGTACCATGAAAGATTTATGCACCACTTTATAAGATTGGAAACGGAAAAATGAAACCCAACCCAAACCAAAAATGCAAAGCCTTCATTTGGAGAGGAGCACATATAACAACGGTGGGAGCGGTTAGAATGAGCAAAAGTAATTGCGATGGTACTGATGTTGCTGCACCAGTGACGCGGTGCAGCAATTACTTTTGCGGTAACACCAGCGTTAACAATTACCGCAACACTGGTAATACTTAAGTTGAATACTTAGCGCGTTGTAATAAGGTAGCGTCCTTAGCTAACATGTATCTTTTTGTGGTGCGCTTCATTTGCCTCGTTTACTGCGCATTTGCTCTCACATTGGGTTTTGCGTAGCTATCATTTGCGAGGGCATGTTGCAACGAATCGTAAACATCCTTACTTTTTTCTCCGCAAAACTTACTTAAGATACTTAGATGGCCCGTCTTCAAATGACGTGCGGGCCCCAGCACAAAAGTTTTCATTTCTCCCTGTCCCTTCTGACATTCTTGGCTGGTGGCTGCGTCCACGAGTTCCAAGTGCGGAAACGTAATCAATTGATTTCTCAGCTGGTCCATCCGTTCCACGAACACGTTTGCCCGTCTAGTTGGAGGTCCTCCTCGGGAACGTTTTGCTTTGCGAGGAATCCACTCCGATTCTTCTCATAACGTGACCGGCCCATCGATGCTTCGCTTTCGCAACGTAATCCGCTGGGTAACGAAGACGGGACATTTTTTCATATCCGTCTGCGAAGTAAGACAAGATGTTGCTTGCATCGAGTTTCTTCAGGAGACTGCGCTCGAGAGCTGTATGGGTAATCCGTAAAGCTTTCAACGTGGCTACAGTGTCGGCCCAAGTCCCAGCTGCGTAACAGAGCGCCGGGAAAACGGCCCGTCAGTTGGTCGGTAGCTTCCTTCAGAGGCCCGAAGCCGGTCTAGGCTGCTCTTCTTCTCCTGTTAAGTTCTTCCCTCAAGCCGTTCTCCATGTTCATCGAACGTCTGAGATACACGTAAGAAAACGTTTTTATGATAGGGGTGCCTTCCAATTCCATATTTGCATCTTCGCAAAGGGCATTCTTCATGAAATGAGTCTTCTCCCGATATATTCGCAGTCCTATCTTCTCCTTACTTCGTTTAGTTCCTTCAGCATCGTCTCTGCTTCAGTGACACTGCTTGAAAAGAGAGCGATGTCATTCGCAAAACGAAGGTTGGACAGGATTTTTCCATCAACTCGTATGCCTCTCTCGTCCCATTTCAGTGACTCTATCACCCACTGCAAGGACGCGGTGAACAGCTTCGGCGAGATAGTGTCGCCTTGTCCAACCCTTTTCCCAACTGGAATGGTCAGGGCGATGGAACAGCAGCATCGTCGTTGTGCAGTCCTTGTAACAGTCGGCTAACGTCCTCACGTAAGCTGGGTCCATTCCTTGATCGACTAGCGCTGACACGATGGCGTTGGTTTTGACGCTGTCAAAGGCTTTCTCGTAATGAACGAAGGTTAGGACGAGAGGCAGTCGGTACTGCCGGCAGACTTTTATAACCCTCCAAACCGTCTGGATGTGGTTCATACCTGAATCTTTTGCGAAATCCAGCTTGCTCTTGGGGTTGCGCTTCATATAGTGTCCTAGATATGCGAGCGAGGATAATCTTCGTGAAAAGCTTGTACAGCAACTCAGCAAGCATATTGGACGGTAGTTCCGAAGGTCCTCCCGTTTACCCTTTTTCAGAAAAAGAAAGGTTCTTGACGTTCTCCACTGGTCGGGAATCCTTTCCTTCTGAAGGTAAGATGTTAGGTGCGACGCGAGAATCTCGTATAGACGTTGTCCTCCAGCTCGCAGAAATTCGACGGAAAGATGGTCTGGTCCTGGAGCCGTGGACGTCTTCGAGGTCTGACTGGCCGTGCGCACTTCAGCAGGTAGGTGTGGTACTTCTTTAGTGGGAACAACGGGCATCGGCACGGGTGTTGATGAGCGGAAGAGGTTGGTGTAGAAGTTCTTCGCGATTGATTCCATCTTGTATCGGGAAGAAGTCGGAGTCCCGTCTTCGTTCAATAGTGCAGCCAGCGGTACGTGATATTCACAGAGGTTCCTTTGGCATTCTTAACACGTTGACGACGAGCTGTTTTTTTGACGTCTGTCCCTGTGGACGAACAGTTTCCGGGCATTTTTACTGCCGGTTGCATGTACGTATGTACCATCTATGCGTGAAGTACAAAGATGCAAGTGGGCGGGGTAGCTCCGCCCACTTTTGGCGAGCCCCGCCCGCTTTTCAAAAATGCTGGAAATTGCTCAAAATCAATAAATTCGTAAAAATTCCAGCATTTTTGAAAAGTGGGCGGAGCCTGCCACTCAAGGGGTGGGGCTTGCATAATGGAAGGCAGGGTCAAAATTAAGATTATTTAAGGTTCCTCAGTCATCTACGGGTTTTTCTATGCAATTTGAGAACGAAGAAAGGTTTTTGTAGAAGGCATCAGAGTGGGCGGAGTTTGCCAAAGAGGGGCGGGGCCAACATGAAAAACTTCTAGCCTAAATTGAATATGTGTACACAAATTGGAACCATTGCGCACTATAGAACTGGTATTTAGGGTGTCGCGCACCATTACGTGACATCGTCCACAAGGACAGACTGCCTGTCGCGCACCATTGCGCGACACTGTCGTCAACGTGTTAAGACTTCATTTCTTTCGGCTGCTTCTAGTATTTTCGCTTGCCTGTACTTTCTAAGTTCCTCCTGCAAAGCTGTTCTGCAACTGGCGTGGCTATCACTCGCTCGAGATGCGTTGCACTCGGATCCCGTCTCAGATATCTTCTCTTTTCAAGCATTTGCTTAGTGGTCTTCGAAATGCGTCCCGAATTCTTTTTTTGAGACACTGAGGCGCGCTCTCCGCAGGCTCGCATCCTATAAAAGCCGGTCTAATCGTACGTTGGGTTTTCCTCGATGGCCAGTCACAAGTTGATATGAGCTCCTCCAAGCTGTTACCGTCATAAACGACAATCTTCCTTTGGGGCACTGTGACAGACCTTCTTTTCCAGCTTTCGACTGAATCGTACCTTCGCTCGAAGAAGGCCTTCTCCACGTCTTTGTAGAAAGTATCTAGTTCTGAGTCGTCAGCTCTGATGTTGGTGAGTAGCAGTAGCAGCTGATTATGCTGATGTCTGACGTGGAGGGCGTAGTCGTAGAATGGTTAGTCGAGGTGATAGGGTCTCATACGAATCGACAAGAGAGACGGTAGATGGGTGACGACAAAACCAACGCCTCCAACGCATAATGAGTATCCATCACTCATCTGTCGCACGTCCTTCTTCCTGGACTTCGTTTTCTGCAGAGCGATAACGTGGTACTTGACGCTGCTCTGCAGCGTCAAAAAAAGCGTGTAGGACGGCGTTTGTGGAGACTGTCCTGGCTGTAGGTGCAGAGCATGAAGCAATATGGCAAGTCAGTTAAGTCCACACTCTGCAAAAAGTTCGAAGGACTCTTAGGTGGAGGTAAGGAGAGTTCTGTTGAGACTAGAGGAATTTCACCACTTCTTTACCGTTCCGATAGCGCAGATGATCAAGCTAGTGCAAATGAAAGAACGGCTAGGGTCACGGTGTTAGGTAATGCTCAAATCTCATCTAATGCCATTGATTTTCTGAGCTTAGGACCCTCATTTGCACCCACACAAAATATTGATGCACGAACTTACCGTAACGTACTGGGATCACTGCAGCGATTGCGAGACCAGCTTCGGATCAAGTTAAAGCGCGACAACCAAGCTCAACCCTGCGATACTCTAAGTAGAAGGACTTTACCGATGATACCATTTCCATCTTCCTTCTATAAAGAACCTGAACCTTGTATTATTGCGGATACCAAGTTTCGAATACTCGCGCTGAGCATCTTGAATGTTCTGAACGATAACAGAGCTACCAAAAGATCTAACTTGACACAAGCGCAACAGCAGGGCTTCAGAGAGATAAGAGAACTGACCACCAACGGCACCATACGCCTCTCAGTCAGTGACAAAGGAGGGGAGTTTGTAGTTATGTCGCAGACCCTAGACCGAGAGATTACCGAACATCACTTGTCAGATAATACTGTCTATCAACCAGCGACTGAAAGAGAGTTTCTATCACAATGCAAGAGGTTGAATCATATCTGGACGACGGTAGGGAAAGAAGCTGGTCTTCCTGAAAGATTCCTTAGCAGGCTCAAGATTGAAACTCCAGCGTGCCCTGTATTTTATAGCCTAATCAAGACACACAAGCTCTCTACAGTTGACATGCAATCCGTCACCGCCGCTTCTTACCAGATACGACCCATCATTAGCTGCGTCAATGGCCCAACCGACCGCATATCATGGTTCCTTAATAAAATCGTGAGCCAACTTCTAAACAAAGTACCTGCCCACTTAACCAACACCAATCATTTCCTTGAGCTTCTGCGCCAGACAAATTTCAGTCAAAACTGCGCAGTGGAGTCGTTTGACGTAACTTGATTGTATACCAATGTATCCAATGAAGACGCATTGCAAGCGCTTTCTGAGATGCTGGAGATACATAGCAAAACTATAATAACATACACTCTCAGTAAAGCACGCATCATAACACTCATCAAGGAATGCTTGCGTTGCAATATATTCAAGTGGTCAGGACAATACTATACACAAGTTAGAGGTTTGGCAATGGGTCAACGATTGGCACCCGTCCTAGCAATCTGCTTCATGAGCAGAATTGAACAGCCTGTGCTATCTAGAACCCCGCTTATGTACTGTCGTTATATCGACGATTGTTGTGTAGTCACTTCAACTCAGTCCGAGATGGACGAGTGCTTCAAAATTTTGAACCAACAATCACAGTTCATAAGCTTCACACGAGAAAAGCCATGCAACGGTTGGCTACCATTTTTGAATACGCAGCTGATGGTGGTGAATGGGACGGTGCAAGTCAAGTGGTACCGAAAAGAGAGCAACAAGAATATTCTTCTGCACGCACAATCTGCACACCCTACAGCCGTGAAACGCGCCATGATTCGAAATATGTTCAGAACGGTAGTAGGCATCTGCAGCGGCGAAAAAGAAAAACAAGAATCACTAAAGTTGGCAACTGGAATAATGATTGCAAACGGTTATAATATGCGAGCTAGACGTACAACGAAAGTGTCAAAGGCGAGTGGGCAGAACGTAAACAAAATACCTCTGTGCCTCCCTTTCATTTCTGAAAGGGTCAGTGCTGCAATAAGACAATGTTTGATACGAGCGCAGTTGGATAACGAAGTTGTCTTGGTGAATATCCCCCGAGATAACATCAAAAAACAACTAGTCCGTAATAGAATGTATGACAATGCTTGCATCAAACGAAATTGCGTGATATGCCCTCACGGAAAAGATGGAGATTGTTCGAAATCTGGCGTCGTGTATCAAATAGAATGTTTAGCATGCTCTGCCATCTACATTGGTGAGACGGGTAGACCATTGTGCGTGCGCGTAAACGAGCATTTGGCTAGTAAAAAGCGGCAAAGCGTAATGAATCCACTAGAAAAGCATAGAAAGGTAGATCATAACGGTAATGACTTCGAAATCAAGTGCATAATCTTGGCCTACGAAAATCAAATATCCGCGAGAAAGGCCCTTGAGGCATCCTACATTCTTGTCCGCGACCCCCAGATCAACAACAAGAATGAACAATTATCTATAACTGGAGATCTGATGCCGTATCTGACATATTGCAAACTATAAGATCGTCTACACTATTTAAGCAGTCCGTTGACATCACAACTGCTCATTCGCGACACAGCAGTCAGTTGACATCACGACTGCATACTCTCAACATCGCAGTTCGTTGAAGCACATCAGAACCAACTGATACTGCTACAAACGGTGACAACTCTGGTGAGTCGTCCTCTACTCGCAGACTCCCTGCCCACTCAAGACCATTCGAATGCTCGAGCGGGAGGAGATGTTTGGCGACCAAGATCGTAAATCAACGTGACTGAATACTTTTTAGCCTCCGACGACGGCGTTGTGCCGAAACGTTAGGCAATAAACTGTCACCGATAACAACCTGTACGGCAAAAGAAAAATATTGAAATCAGTACCACATGAAGCAATATTTATGGCGTGTCGTCCGGGCTCTCGTTTTTGTCCTATCCAAAAGGCGCCCTAAGAACCCTGACATCGTTCTTTCTACAACTCGGCGCCGTAGGCGTAACTCGATGTACTGGGTTTCTTTCTATTTCTTCTTGCTGATGGAGTAACAAGATTACAAGAGCAAACTTTCTATGCCTACTCTTGATTACCCACGGGGCGATCGCTGATTCTGGGCTTAAAGCGAGGAGTACCGCCTAGCGACCAGAAAACCAGACGGCGATGGACCTAACCTGGCCGCCTCTTAGCTATCCGGCCAAAACCGGATACGTCGAACTCTTTCACAGCTTGGGACGCCCTGCCAGAGTACACACTCGGCTGTGTATCGCAGTTCGACAGTCAGTGTCATCCTCTCGAGGCGGCCGACCATTGTGTGGGGACGTCCGCAAAACTGTGTCAATGATTTTGACTTGCCTTTCAATTGTAGGCATGATGGCCATGAAAGCTCGCTGGCTTCGACGGTATATTACCGGTGTTACCGTTTTTCCTGCTTGGATGAGATATCATCCCTTTATGCCAACAGCATGCAAATTTTCAGATTTAAGAACATAGTGATAGCGTTCGACTACGTTAACACTGGTAACATCGACAATATACGGCCGAACCGTAGAGTTCAGCCACACTCGCGTTTCCCGAAACCTTACAATCAAAGCAAAGCAAGGGAAGCGGTGCGAAGAAAGCAGCTTGCACGTAGTGTAACCCTTTGCTTGTAGTAACATCACGTGCAAGGTCAGCAAATTGGAACTAACTAGAGTTCTTCGTTTACAGCTCCTCCTATCTCTTCGATAAACGACACCCCTCGAAATTTTGGATTTCCAGATTTACAGACATCGAGTACAGTCACTGCTTGTGTAATCTGAATACGACTTTGTACATGTAGAGACATGTCCATTCTTCCTGCTTCATAACTATACGACACCTTTGAGCAACGTACTTTTCCAAGGAGAGAATGCAAATCGGGGTTTTGACTAATCGGAGGGCCACCTGCCTTCTTACCGCTTCACTAAGTCTTTTGGAAATGCTTCTGACAAATTTATGCATGTTTTCGGTTCAGTGTTGCTACGTGCGTTCATAGCGAACTACCTCAACTTTTCCAGTGCCTCGTACTGTTTGCATCTGCTCAACGCTATCCAGTAACCTCCAGAGACTTTTCTGAAGAATTTAAGACAAAACAGTATGGTCACGTTTATAGGAGCTGCTTGCGATGTTGGTTGGAGGACGGCGTAAGTGACCCGCGTACCAAATATTCTCATCGAAATTTAGGCTTTTGAACTTTACAGTATGCTCTCAGATTGTAGAGGAGTCTGCGCTAAAGTTTTTCTTACTAAAATGAAACTTTACTAGCATCCAGCCAATCGGTCCTCTAGCCATTACAGTGATCTAAACTGAATTTTTCTGATTAGATTACATCATCAAATCAGCGGCTCATCCTTTCTGTCATTTTCTTAACAAAGCGCCTGTAACAGAACTACGATTCGCACCAGTACAACGCAGTGAACATGCAAGCGCTTAACTACGCCGTTTTCCGCCAGCATCACAACCAGCTTTTGTAAATCTTAAACTCTTCAGAAAATCTCTGGGGATTAAGGGCACAGCGTTTCTGAGCAGATACAAACAGTACCAGGCATTGGAAAAGTTGGAGCAATCCGCCATGGACGCACCTGACAACACTGAACCGAAGACATACATGAATCTGTCAGAAGCATTTCCAATAGACTTAGTGAAGCGGTAAGAAGGCAGGTGGCCCTCCGATTAGTCATAAAAACCCCGTTTTGCATTCTCTTTTCCTTGGAAAAAGTACGTTGATCAAAGGTGTCGTATAGTTATGAAGCAGGAAGAATGGACATGTCTCTACATGTACAAAGCAAGTGAGTGGAGTATTGATCGAAATGTCATTTTATTATAGCGTATGTAGATTACACAAGCAGTAACTGTACTCGATGTCTGTAAATTTGGAAATCCAAAATTTCGAGGGGTGTCGTATAGTTATGTAACGCACTGTATGAGGTCAATTGATGAAAATAAGGTGCGTTATTGCTCCCTTTTTCATACGATACTTCTTGTGCGTCTTAAGTTTTCTGCTAATGAAGCCAGCTACCAAAAACTTGGCAAACCTTTTTTTGTAAAATTGGTTTAGACGCTAAATCTCGTTTTAGCAACATGGATAATAGACACGTGGAAGTAAGTTTGACAGAAGTCAACTTGAGAACAATTGAAAAGATTGATGGATGAAAGGTTTTCTTGAAGTAGAACGGATAAAACCGACATTTACTTTTTAAGGTATCATACCAAATTTATTCACGAAAACACTCCGTATTGCATCTTTGCGATAGCAGCGCTCCTAGAAGTACGAGATCAAGAACGCGGGCTGCGCTGCTCGGCAATCTTATGGTTCTCTGACGTACTGCCGCAATAGCCTTTTAGCTCTCCTGGCCTTAGGGTTTGCCCAAGCTGTCCTGGGAAAGCGGCGTACGCCGCGTACGCTGCCTTCCCAGCAAACTCTGGCCCAATCCTTGGCGCGTTGCCTGCCCTTTGGTAGCGTAGAAGATGTCGTGCCGTGTCCTTGCGACACGCGGCGAATCTGTTAGGCTACGTTCAATACTGATTCCGAAGTTCGGGAACAGTTCCAGCACAGCGCTCGAACTGAGCGTTGTGCTGGAACTGTTCCTGGACTTCGGGATCAGTATGACATTTGGTGTTTCACGGGACAAGGCACCTCGTCCCTTCTTTGTGCTAAATTTCAAACAATACAGTTATGGTAAACCTTTTAGCCTTGATTGCGTTGTTGATGATTCTTCCATTGATGAGCAACTCACTGAAATGTTATGAAGGCATACATGGCAGAGAACTGGAAATAGTGGAAAAGGAAGGAATCAAGGTAAGGGGCATAACTTTGGAACAAGTCGATAGTTCCGATTTCCAAACCACTATGTGTTTTGAATGAATAACGTAATCACACATCAATTTCAGAAATTCATGTGTCAGTTTGACATAATGAACCCGTGCATAGTTGATGCGTACTTTCAGTACGGTATCCACGAATATAATAGCAAAGTAGGTTAATCTATTTTCTTGGGCATCTCTCACAAAATTGTTTCCTGTAGTACCGATCGCAATGTATAGTACATCCAAGGATCTCTTGTTTTTGCACGAAAGACCTATGCAACAGAAATTACGCATTGTTGTTGGTGAGTAAAGACATTTGATACTCCACATTTTAGTCAGAGTTGGCCATTTCGCAGTTTTCGGTGGCGTACGCGACGTACAGCTACGCACGTGCTACATTGAGTCAAATCGAATGATTATTCGATTATTCAAATAAGTCATTTGAATGCGAATGATTCAAAATTCGAATACTAGAATATATGAGATTTCGAATAAAATTCGACAGTCAAATTTTGAAAAATTTCTCGAAATTATCTAGGTACGTAATACTTACAAGAGAGAGAGAGAGAGAGAGAGAGAGAGAGAGAGAGAGAAAGAGAGAGAGAGAGAGAGAAAGAGAGAGAGAGAGACATAAGTGGTAACATTTGATTCAACCGACTTGGCTTCGGTAAGGCGTGGCTTTGTGACCTAATTAAGGCCGCTCGCACCCGCGGCCCACCTGCGTCTCTCTCGCGCGAGTGCTCTCTGATCATTACCTAGCCTTAATTAAGTCACGAAGCCCCGCCTTCCCGAAGCCAAGCCAGTTGATTGTAATGGTACTTTACGTACGTCGCCTTCGCCGCGTACGCCCTGCAGTCTGGCCGGTAGAATGGCGGTAAAATTAGCGCGTTAACGAAGCTCCTAGCTACTCCTGTGATGCCGGCCAGTTCCGCGCGCAAAATGCTTGCATTACTAAAATGGCTAGTTATCCGAGCTCAAAATCACCGCATCTCATCTGCAGTGTGAGCAACTGTATCGAGCTAAATATACTTACTCTACTGTACATCTCCGGCAGTTTTATGGCATTTTCGGTGAAACTTGAGCTTAGACACTAGCTCTAAAAACTCTCCTCTCAAACATTTTTCAGTAATTCATCAACATTTGTTTGGTATTCTGATAAAAAACGGCACCAAATGTACTTAAATTTTGGGAATTACTCTTAATTACAAATGACCTTATTGCGAGCCTTTTGATGTTCATTCTAGGTATTTTAAAACACATTGGTATAGAAAACTGCTTTCTTTCATTGGTTGCGCAATCTATCAACATTTTTCTTGCCCGCACTTCCACTATCGTATCCGAAAGCATATTCGTTTCACACTTAGCCTGAATATTATTGTTTAAAGTATGACTTATTCCATAATTGTCAGAACAGATGACGTTTTTTTTTCAAAAACAGTTTTAGCCATTGTAATTTCCCACTTGAGACGACAGCAATAAGCCATTTGAACCGATTCTCGATATCTTTCGGATCACTCCTAACAATATGTGAAGTTTTCAGCAATTTTTTGGTCCCTAGGGGGTGCATGTCAAAAGGTGTGGTTTCAAAGCCAGATGAACACTAATTAACGTATTTTTAGTATTTTATGATGTTTTAAGAGCAATTCAAATTTTTGGCAAGATATGTTGAGTGTGATTGCATGGGTTGCTCAATCTTATCATTTTGAAATAGAATCAAAAAATAAACGTTGGAGGTGAAAAACTCATGAAGGTGCAACTTAAAACGTTTTGTGAATATTTCAATCGAGTTCCTACCAAAAGCTGTCAAACTTAGCGAGGTATCTTCAGATAGTTATTATGCTAAAACTTTGTCTAGTCTTATTGGAAGACTCGCATAGCTTGAATTGGGCCATTAAGAAGGTGACCTTTTGAGAAATAGCGCCTCTTAACCGTCTCCCCATCTCAACTGTCTTTGTAATAAACCAAACTTTGAAAAAAGATTTCCCAACACTTTCAGCTTATGTTCCTACATTCAGGAAAAGTGGCTTTCTACCCATGTAGAGAATGGAACGCTGCACGAATGTGTGAAGAAGCAATTATCAGAAAGTGAGCTTTTAGTGGTACTTGTCAAAACCGATTTTTCTCTTGCAGTGATCTTCGATGAGGCTAGAGCTGCTGATGGCGTCGCAAATGACCAGGTATCTGAGAATTCACCAAATTAGCTCGGCCTTTTGGAAAGAGACAGTTATATCCTGAACCGGCTTTAAACGCTGATTTTAAATATGCTATTCTTAGCTGCGACGCATTAATCTAGAACAAGTTATGGCTTTTTTCTGTGCAAAATCCACATACTTATCGATTTACTGGATCACGGCATCGCCAGCTAAATGTCATTGCATCAAGTTTTTGCCAATAAAAAAAGTTTCGATTCTGTTTCGATATCCCAGCACTCTTTTCTGATCAATTTTTACTTGCAGGCAATCTTCCCATATTGGGTAGTATGCCAACTTCACGCAGCAAAAAAACTCATACTTTACTTAAAAATAATGCATCGCAGCTAAGATATAGTTTATTTATAAAATCGTCACGACGGATTTGACTGCGGTGTTTTCGCCCACAGGAGCATAAAACGCTTATACAGAAAGCAAACCTCAATGCTCAGCTCAGTCACATCCAGTGTGTAAATACTATCATACTTAAGCAGAAAACCCATTCAAATAGAGTTGAAACCCCAAAGAATGCGGTTGTCGGAAGGTGCGTGCGTGTCGCGCGCGGTCGCCATCATCAAGATTCAGAGGCCCTATAGCTCAATTGAGATGGAATATCAAGCTGATTCAGAATGTATGTCCCTTACCAAGAGGCGAGCTAAATTAGATACATTCCCTAATAAGTGTTAAGAAATACGTATTTGGAAAAATTGTGAAAATTACGCTTTCTTGTACCTTTTTGCATACCATTTATAGAAGGTCGAACGAGTGAGTAAATGCAGACCTTTTTTGCTCGCATTTCCACTTGGTCTATTTTCGTATCTTGCTATACAAGAGATTTTGCTCAGATTTTCCGCACCCGTTGCAACCTTCATTACATTCCAAACCTAACAGTCTCTATGCTGTTTTGTTCCAAAAATAATGCCTCCATCTGCTAGCACGCAATGTCGACAAAAAATGAGTGGGGTACCATAGGAGAGAGCAAAATGAAAATCAAACCATTGCGCCTACTTTAATGCGTCTTTAAAGCCAACTTTCTAAAGCTTCAAACGCCTCTAATATTAAACCGTCTCTGTAAGTATAGAAACCAACTTACTGCACAGTTTTGCGATTTTCCATGGCTAGAAGTCAAGAATACAAAATCTGGTATGCTTTTGGAAAAACGTTCTGAGCAGCTAGTATTTGTTTCTAGAGTATTAATTTTTAGAAGTCGACCCTTTCGTATTTTTGGTCTATTTTTGTTTCTATTTTTTTAACCATGAAAAAATTTACCAACTAAACACGTAAATGTCTAGTGTATAGACTACATACCTGACCCAAACAGGTCTGTAGGAAATTCGCGGACTGCGATGCGATTCTTGCAAACTAGAGTTTTATGTATATTGGTTTGAAATATATGTGAAACAAAGTTCTAGCGGATGTTTGTACCCTATCTGGGAGAGCTTGCTTTGCTCTACCGAACGGCATCTCAATCATTTTCTTCAGCTGCCTGCGGTAGCATGTTGCGCGACGTGTTTTTGGGGCCATCTGTCTGATGTATGATATATAACACACCAGCATGAATAACGCATTCGCATAAACCTTGCCTTAAGTATTTTTGTTATAAACTAGCTGGCAAACCCGGTCCCGCCCGGCCACGCCCGGCCCTTGTCAATATTTTTGTTTTTTCCTTTTCCTTATCTTGCAACAAGTTGTAGTCCTTCTTTTTTGGAAAACATACTATCGACAAAATTAGGTTATGGAAGCATTAATAACACACTAGACACCTTCATTATATTACCAGCAACTGCGGAAACCTCAATTTTCTTTAATAATGGTAAACATTCATAATTTGAGAGTATAAATGTTCGATGCATCCAGCAAGAGCTACATCCCGGAAATAAGCTGGATTTCAGCCCTTCGCCCTTCGAAACTTTGTGCCAGTTGATTGAAAAAAAGAGCTAATTTATAAGGCTATGAAGCAAAAATTATCAAGTTTTTTGGTCAAGAGGATTGAATGTTATTGAATACGTATGATTTAGAGAATCAATGGCATCGGATACAAAATGCACAAAAGAGTGCGCAGAGATGATGAAGAGAATCAAGTGCCTGAAGAAGGTGCGAAATAAGTTCGCAGTTTACCCTTTGCATCCACTAATATTGTTTGCAGATCAAACTCAAGATCCCAACTTGGGAGTTGGTTCGGATGGAACAAATGCCAGCGACAGTAGTTCTCTCAATCCAGGTGCTTTTCAGTTATCCTAAATTCGAAATTAACTTGTTCAATCACTTAGAAATCGCTCAGAAAAACAATAATATAGCGATGTATCCGGACCGACAGGAAACATTCTTAGATTAGAACCACTACAGCTCGAAGACAATCATGAATTTATGCATACTATGGCGATGAAAACATATAACTTTGGCTTTGTTATGCCCATTTTATTGAAAGTTCCCCCCCCCCCCCCTTTCCAGCTGTGCAACATTTCACCTATACGGAAGGGCCTTTTACTGAATACTAGACACCATCGCGATTTGAAAGCGATTTTACCGGAAAACCTGACATTAGAAGTGAAAATCTCTTCCCTTGTTCCCGATTACCCATCTTTTCATTGTGATGTGCGGTTTGGAGAGAAGTAAGAGATGAATTAGCGGGCACCGGGAAAACTGTGCTGTAATATGAAAATACTGCTCAGTATATCCAACAAAGGTATAATATATATCTAGCGTGTTTCAAAGTTATATTTTATCACCATAATGAAGTAGATTGTTCAAAAAGATGCACCTCTATGTACATTGTCATAATTCATAAACGAAAAAATACGATAAAGGGCAAATTTGAAATTCAGAGTTCAGGTTCCGACTAGCCTAATGAAGGGGTTGTTGAGCTTCCCTTTTGATAAGAACTATTTCCTCACTTAGGTGGAAATCCTTGTAAATCTTATATATAAAGCTGAATGTCTGTTTGTATGTCTGTATGTATCTGTTTGTCTGTCTGTCTGTCTGTCTGTACGTATGTTCCGAATAGAAAATTCCAATTCTGAACCGATCCGGACCAAACTTGGCACACATACACTTCCGGCCCCGGCGGGTGTCATAGGCTACTTTTCGTATCGATCGATATCGATTTTATCGATTTTTTGCAAAATTTGAGCTACGGGGCTGGGATTTGGCACAGGGGGGTAAGTGAGCATGGGGATTCCGAATGCAATATTAGTTTTTAAAATCGTGCATTACTTCTACCGATTTTACCGATTTTTTTGCAAAATTTGAGCTAGGGGGCTGGAATTTGGCAGAGGGGTGTAATCGAGCATGCTGATCATCCCCACGGGGGTGATCAGCATGCTCGATCACCCCCCTGTGCCAAATCCCAGTCCTCTAGGTCAAATTTTGCAAAAAATCGATAAAATCGACATCAATCGATAACGAAAAGTGGACTGTGACACCCGCCGGGGCCCGAAGGGTATGTGTTCCAAGTTTGGTTCGGATCGGTTAAGAAATGGAATTTTCTACTCGGAACATACGGCGGAGCCGGGTATGCCAGCTAGTTCCTAATAATCCAATGTAACAATGAGCAAGCGGTGATTTATTTCTACCGTAAATATTAAGCTCACAAGAGAGGTCGGCTCAGTGAAAGTGGCTTCTTTATGTGACTCCTATACCACATTGAGAGCAATAAGAGATGGTTCCAGATCTGTCTTCTTTTTTTGCCAAACGCTTCTGGACGCCGAGTTATGAGCGTTCCTTGCGTTGAAAAATTAAAGTCTCAACTTGAACGAAATTCATCCAGGCTTGCTCAAATGATCCAATGTTAATCAGAGTGCTTCAATTGATAGGTAACTTCTGTCTAGTACACTTATATACAGCTCTACTTGAGCGCTGAGGAGATTGTAAAGGGATGATTTTTTTCCAAATTCTGCGTTTATTTTTTTTTTGCTAAAAAAACCACTCATGACTCGGCGTTCAGAGGCGCTTGGCAGATAATGAAAATAAATTTGGATTCGTTCAATGCTCTTCAAAGCATATATGTAAGACACATTGCAAACCACTTCGGCTAAATGGCATTCCCTTGTTAGACAGCTTCACAGTATAAAGTCCATAGTTGCTATAGACTATAAATGGAAAAAAACTCTTTTGGAAGTTGTGAGAAAGTGAATGTCGGCGATATTTGCAAACAATTGCAATCACTGATTATTTAACTGCATCGATTGTCAACATATTTAGAAACATTAATTTTAAGTTCATACGCTGTTTTATTGAAGGATATGCCGTTTTATAATCCAATAAAAGCATTGCTATGTTATGTTATGATTTGCTATGTTTAGGAAGCGGCCAGCCGAGCACTACTGTCGGTAAGTAATCTTTAATTTTTGAAGAAAATCATGACGATTTTTTAAACATTAGTTCAAGGTGCTTAGAAAAATTCTAAAATATTTATTTGCAGATTACGAGGGCGAATTTGGTTTGAAGACAAAACCTTCAGAAAGCTCGGCAGGAGGCTCGACAGAGAGTTCGACAATACAACCGACTACAACAGGTAAATGTTTGCGTGTTTGACGTGGAAGCTCAGTAGGAAGCACTACAGGCTCAGAAGGAAAGACACCGACGACGTTGGCAGAAGTAATTGAACAAGTCGCGGGATCAGGTACTATCTTCAATTATCTCACACCGATGTATTTGGTGATAAGGTGACCGACAAAGTAGCGAAAATTGTTCTGAAGATTACATCAAAATCGAAAGTTCATAACCTGGACCGAAGCGAAAACCTGGAGAAGCAATTTATCATGCTGTTTCTGAAACTTGAAGCTGTAGGAAATTTTTGTTTTAGAGTATACGCGTTGTACACATATTGCAACAAAGCTTTGAGGCATCTGTCCAAAATGTCACCTATTCTGAGCCTTCCCGCCATGACGAATCTATATCTGGGCTATTTAGCGCATGAAAATGGCGAAAATGAGCCCTTTTCAAAGTAGGTCCCATTCAGTAAAAATACGTTGAAAATCCTTTGCGCTCCGCCTTCCTCGTTGAATCCGCCCATTTTCACGTGGATCCGCCGAATGCTGACGCATAAATCTCCGCCCATTTTCACGTGGATCCGCCGAATGCTGACGCATAAAGCTCTAAAAAAGTTCATTGTTGCCATTTTCATGCGCTGAAAAGTGCAGATATGGGTTTCTCATGGCAAGAAGGCTCAGAAAAAGTGAAATACTGGAGAAAGAAATTCTGCAAGACACTGCATTTGAATCGCTCGCTATTATCCGCGACTTCGTTAAGTGAAGCTTGGCAAAAGTAAGGAACGTAAAAATAAGAATAATCCTCGGGAAGAGGAGCAGGGGAAGGCAGGAGTACCCATCGTATAAAAAGACTACATAACTCTGACAGTTAATGCGCTTGTCATCGACCTTCTAAGAATTACTTGTGTATGCCTACAAAGCAGGTTTGAAATAAGAATGAGAGAGTCGCTTATAGGAGAATCATTTTCAACAAGCAAGCAGAGTCCTGGAAATACACCGGCACAGGAGTCTGCAACGGAGTCTACATTGAAGTCTACACCGGAGTCTAAAGAAGCGCAAACAACGCAAACGAAGACAGGTAATAATGCGAGAGTTCAGTTCTATGAGCAGGATCAGTCGTTTCGAGACAAAGCCAAATTTGTAGTTAGAAATATGAACAATAATCTGCCTAATCCTTAATGAAATGTTTCAATGGTAATTTGCCCATTTTTTGGTCACTTGCAAAGTTCTCGTCTCAATGTATATCAATGTACTTTCTTTGTACACATTATCAAAAGCAGATAATATTTGTTAATTTCAAAAGCAGAGAACGACTTCAAAATTTTTTAACAGAATGCTGGAGACTATTCCTTATCGTGCAAGTTCTAAAAGTACTTCATTTTTGGTGTGTTAGTGGCAAAATTGAAGCGTTAATATTTCACAATTTTGACTTACAAAGATTTTTTGTGAGAAATCAAACAAAAGTGTAGCGCAACCGCTCTTAATTAGAGACTATTGAGCAAAACTTTAGTCTTTCTAACTCTGCTTCTGTGCAAGTTTGCCAGTTGAATTACAATTAAGCAACGGTATCGAGACCAAATAAAGGCGTACGCTGATTTTCGAGAAGCAATTCATTATATAAGCAATTAAATTTTTACAGAAGTTTTGCTTAAAATTTTCAAAGCTAAACTAATTGCATTTACACACAAAATTTGAATTGTAACGAAAAGAATTGTAAATAAAATACTTAGTTTCAATTTTGTAATCACAAAATCACAGTAGCCAATCTGCGGCATTTCGAATTTTGATTCTTACCCAATCCTTAAAATCGCAACCGATGGCAAATTTCTACAGAAGATTTATTATGAAATTTTTTCCCAGCGTATTATTTTTACAGTAATGGGAAAGATGAGTATGTTAAAGTTGCATTAAACAGAAACTCACAGGACATTGAGAGGCAGAGTAATGTTTAAGTGAACCCTGACTAGATAAACAGAAAGTTTTATACTACCCGTAAACAGGTCCTCAAACGAATAAGCAAATGTGGGGCCAGAAAGAACGGAGATTTGACCTTCGAAAACAAACAAATTTAATCACAATTTTTCGTGTTACAATATTTACTCAGTAGCACCACATACCATCGCCATTCTAATCCTTTGTAAGTAGAGCTGACTAAAGTGCAGAGATTTATCTCACTATGTTCTAGACATTCATTCAAATAATGTCAGTCTGCTGACTGCTTGGTCTTTCTGTGTATAGTAAATTTGTTATGAATTCTGTTGGAAAGAGACATCATAACAGCTATGAGTAAAAGTGCAAGTTTTTACACAAAAGATTTACTTTTATATTATTCGTAATTTAATTCTGCGCCTAATAAGGCCAAAAAGTTTTTCAAAATCTTGTGTCAGATGGGTGCAGCTAATATTCTGCAAAAACTTAACTCACAAGTGCTCCAATGTTGTTCGAGTTGGTTTGTCAAAGACAGTTACAAAATGAAGTGAACTGCAGAACTATATTATTTTATCATTTAAACGGCAAGGAGTATATTTGCAAAATTATATGATCAAAGTACCATCAATAGTGTTGCTTACGCAGCATTTGTGCACTTACCGTAAAAATGTTCCGTGTGCGTTTATTTTGCTTTCAATATGCTAAGAAAAAAATATCAGCACTTATTGTTTTACTTTACTTAGATTCTCGTCCTTTTTAACCCTGTGAAAAATGTCCAAATTGTTACAAATGTGTTGCACTATTCCGAGTACCATAAAAGCACGAGTTAATTTTCAAAATATGTTGTTCATGAAATAATAGCGATCTAGAGTTTAACTGACTTATGCAGAGATCAAAAGTCATGCGTAAGTAGAATAACAACACTTTTTAGGGTCAACACAGGTCGATGAAAGTGTACCAGTGGAATCGCATTCAACTACGGAGATTCCTTCAAGTATAGTTGATAGTTCAGGTGAATGATTTCTTAACTACATGGAATGTCTTCTATTGTGCACGCGAAAAAGCACAAGCTGATCTTCAGCATATATTGTTTACGGAAAGAATAGCAATCTAGAGTTCAACTATGTCAACTAAGTTATTGAAAGCCAAAACTCTTCAAAATACAGCACTTTTTTAGAAAAAATAACGAACGCGGGGAGCGGTGAATCAACATCCTCAGAGCCACCAACTAAGCATAGCCAATCAGGTAAATGATTTCTTAGACTAAAATTTTCTGTTGCACAAGCAAATGACTGAATACTGGAGCATTCTCAACCAATAGCCTTGCCAAAAATTAATCTTACTGTACAGTTTCGACTCACCCACTGAAAGACCGCAGTTGTCAGTCTTGTTAAAAACAAGCGCGAATGGTTTAAAATTGAAAAAAAAACTTGAACGTAATAACGCCACATGCTTGCATTTCATGAGCTTCATTCGGCTTTGCTCTATAGCAAGGCCAAATCAAATTATTAGAAAAAGAAGAAGTTTTGGATTCAGGGTTTACTTAAGGGTAATACGGCAATCCCCAAACATTATCTGTAAAGTTTACACAAACAACTCTACATTTGATGTCTAAAATTATCCCTTGTTTCATAATATGGAACACTGAGCTGATTTTTCAAGCAGCATCGCAGTAGCTAGCACTTGTATGACATGCACATGCTAGTCACAAAAAACGTCCTAAACGGTGGCGTACCGAAGGGAGGACCCCCCCCCCCCCCCCGAGAATGCGTCGCGAAATTTTTAAAGTTGTTGTATGGGTTACAAAAATGTTCAAGCGACTTGTTTATACTTGTACATAATTGATATAATTTTTACAATTTTTGAAAATTCAATTTGGCCCTATGAAAATTTTTTAAAGGAGTAGCTGCCACCAAGGCCCCTTTTTTCTGGAATTTTGGTTTATGGGCCAGCGAAAATTCAGGAAGTACACCAAAATTTTTCAGTGCGGTGCTAACGCCACGCACTTTTATCCAATAAAAAAGTTTTGTCCCCCCCCTATCCAAACGGAAATCCCGGGTGCGCCACTGCTCTTGAGTTGTAGCTATACCGCTATTTTGCGAAAAGATTACTTCTTTGGAGACACCTGGTTTTACGGTGCTGCGACAAGTGCTAGCAAGATTGCAGTAAATCTCAGCTGTTAAATCTGTTTATGAGGAACGATGGAAACTGCAAAAGTTTGGTTCGGATTACTTAATACTTGTACATGCTCAAGCATCTGCTTTCTACGCAGAAGTAATTACATCGAAAGTTTTCAGAAGCGTCTGAGACAACTCCATCTGGTAGCCAAACAGGAAGTGGATCAGATGAAGCACACGGAGCCCTTTCTGACAAACAAGATCGGTCTACGGACTCTGATAATTACGATTGGTAAGAAACTACTCATTATGAAAAAGACAATGATAGAATTAAAGTGTATTACAGGCGTCTCTTCACCATTCTAGCTATTATCGCTGCAGTGCTGATCTTTGCGGTCATTCCTGTTTTACTCCTGATGATTGTAGCAAAATCTGCGAATGCAAAGAAACGCAGTATGGGCGGAGATGATGCTCCGAGTACAAAGAGTGGCAAAAGTCAAAGGAGCAGTAAAAGAGCAAGAAGCGGGAAGAGTGCGAAAAGTCAGAGCAGTAAAAGAAGTGGAAAAAAGAGCTCAATGAGTGGTAAAAGCAGCAAGAGAACCACAAGCGGAAAAAGTGCAAAAAGTGGAAGGAGTGTCAAGAGCTTTTGAAATGAGACGAAATGTAGAAAGTGTAAATACTCACTGATGTATAAAATGCTTACACTTCTTCCTGCATAAAGGCTTCATGTAGTAGTCGAAAAACATATGTTACTGAGTGAAACCTCTCGCTGAGGTTTGGAATATGTTGGTATCATTTGGCTAATCCAAATTCATCCATTATGTTCGCAATATAAAGAATTATGCTAAGCAGGTCATGGTCAGAAATTAACCAACCATACCAAACATGCCATACCAGACGCTCTGAGGCCGCTACGCGGTAGGTTCAGCTGATACTGAAACGGAAGGTTCACTTTTTTACTTTGATGCGGAATGTGAAAATTTGCATTGCCATCTTGCACGAGTCAGATTCATAACCTGCGCAGGAAGAAAAACTGAGGACATATTTTCGGCTGTGTCCGTCCATTTTGACTCAACATTCTAAGCAACGTATATAGGGGCAACCTGCAAAAAATCAATGATTCGATAGAGGCAATCGGTAGGTCCCAAAATATTAAAACACGCTCCACCCCATACACTATGTCTGCCAAACTTGGCTTAGCTTCGATAACTTCTTCTATCTACTTTGTGCGAACATAGAAAATTTTCTAAGCAAGACTGCAAAAAACAATAATCATGGGGGCAATCCGTGTGTCTCAAACCAAATGGCTTATTAACACACGCCCCGCCCTATACATTATGTATGCCAAGTTTGGTTTAGATTCCATCAATCCTCCTGTCCCTTTTAGGCGAAGATACAAAAAGTGGCTGAGCTAAATATTATATTAGTATAGATGCCATCGGACTTGCGGCAGAGAGAGGCTGGTATGTTCGGTATGGTTGGTTTATTTCTGACCATGACCTGCTTCGACCCGAAACGCTGATCACAATTACACATATTTATTGTTTGCTAAACGACTATTTGGAAGTAGTTAAAGCGTTTGAATTCGCGATGTACCAAATGTTCTGTGTCGCATGTTTTATATAATACGTTTCAAAAACACTTAGAATCTCGACTTCTCTTTTTTGCCTTATCCAGACCGTTTCATGGCGATGATTCCAAATATGGCACACGAATGCGTGAATTCTAATGCAATCTTTGTCAAAGCAAGCATTGACGGGTAGACACTATGTGTTTGATTGTGTTTACCGCGTGAAAACACGTCAAGGGCTGGGGAGATTTCGTTCAAGGGGTTGGGCCGTGCGAGGGGGTAGGCGTGGTCCCCAAGGCTCGGCGTTTTCTGCACCGATTTTCTCCTTTTACAGGGGATGTACAAAATCCTACTTGTGCGATAGTTCTAGATTGAGGCTCTCGTACTCGATTATGATAGTATCCTATAATGTTCAAATCTGTCAAGATGCTGCCTTTAAGCACAGGTAGCGTCGAAGGTGCGAGTGTAAGGCTTTGTAACTTCTAAAGAACTGTGAAATGCAAATGCGCGAACTGCTTCAGACTTCTTCCATAAAATTAAGGGTAAAGTAATTTTAGATCGCATCTGCTTGTGAAACGATTTACGTTTCGATTAATATGCCGTAAAATCAACTACATGTAATAGCCGCAGTCACCAACGAATGACGCCGCTAGTACCTTTTGATTTAACGGGATTGGCGGCTGGAGGGCGTGGCTTCGAAGTCTTATTAAGGCTAGAGAATGGTCAGAGAGCACGCTTGTGAGAGGGACGCAGACTGCGTCTCGGTTGCGAGCGGTCTGCCTCCAGCCGCCAATCCTATTGAGTCAATCGGTAATTTAGTAATTATTAAGACAAAGGTAGTATAAGATAGGAAATCGTACATGCAAAATGGATATGTTTTGTCTTTAAACCAAATTTTTGAGTAAGTTTTCAAAAAAGAAAATCGCAATGTTATTTCAAACTCTTGCAGTTAACGGATGTCATACTCTACTACGTTCTTGAGCGCTATGTGATATTAATATTCGTAATAGCAGCAAGGTTAGACGCTTTGCATACAATTTGTTTCAAAATGTCAGCTCAGCATATCTAGAATGCCTTTTTTAAGCTGATCTAGAGAATAGTGCAGTTTTATCGTGCATTCTCAATTTCAATAGAGAAATTGAAGAATTGAAATGAATAGGCTCTATTGCTGTACAGCACCGCAATATGCAGTACCCGTAGGAGAATGATGATTTGTGCAAAAAGTGAGATTGGTCTGAGTGAATGCTCAAAAAGCCTTGTAAGGAGATTTTGAAAAATACACACTCTTTGCAAAAAGAAATACCTGAAGAAAAAGGATGTACTGACCTTTCAATTCTTGGCAGTGAACATCAAGTCTTTTACGTTTGAACGCTGAATTCTAAAATGAGAAACAGTAGAAAAATTTCGTTTTTCAATCAGTTGAATGAGAAATAAATACAAAGAAAGAGACGAACAAACCAACGTGTTGTCCCACATGTATCTTCTGGGCCCATGGTAAACCCTCGAAATATGTCGCAATGTAAAGAAAGCGAGCTTGCGACGTGTCCGACTGAAGGAAAAACTGCTCACGACACGCCTTAGTTTAACTCGCCACAAAACTTGTGCGAGCAGTTCATCCTGCCTGCGGCCTCATTTTGTAAGCCAACCTCCGCTGAGATATGGCTGCCTAGGTACTTGTATGACGTTGTTTTCTTTAGCTCTTCACCATCGATGCTTATGGTACCAAGGTTTTGTTTCCCCACTTTCATATGTCTTCCTGGTTTTGAGCATCAGGCCATACAACTAAAAAGCCTTTAAGATGAGTAGTTGTTTGCAATTCATTCGAAATGATCGGCATCGCGAAGCGAGTTCTGAAGTCACCATTATGCGATCGAGGAAGACGCATGGATGTGAGAATCGGTCGACCCTCTGCGAAGCAGAGGTGATGCTCTTGCTTGTGTGGCACTGACTGTTTTACGCCAAAACTTGTAGAGAGCTGCTCAGCAAACAAAGAAAGTAGACTCATTATTTCATAGAGCGCATTTGAGAAAATACCATTTATTCCACGTGAGACTTGACATCCTTCTTGTTAAAACGATAAGCAATCATAAGCAGCTTTTCAACCCACTGACAACGACGCCTAATTTTGCGTGAAGGCGCTATGGGACAACGCGATTTTGCATAACACTTTCAGTGAGAGAAGGTTTTGTGCTTATTTGCGAAATGAACTTTGTTTTGTAAACAACTATTAACAGCCCTTGAACGACGGAGCCTACAGGTCCCAAGATTACAAAAAACTGTATATGGAAAAAATACCAGGCCTGCAAATAATACGTCTCTGCAAGAGGTGTGGGCCACAGGGGGTCCACATTGTGCCTGGCGGCAAAAAGCGCGTGAGACACCGGTGGTCCACATCGTCGTCGAATGGGTTAAACACAATCAATCATTTTACATATCCCCGCGCACCGTGCTTTGAGCAGCAAGCGAAGGTAGTGATCGCAATTAGAGCATCAGAAAAACCCTAAGCCAATTTTGAAGATCGCAATTAGAGCATCAGAAAAACCCCAAGCCAATTTTGAAACAGATCCAATCAAAGTAAATTGTGTAATCAGCAGCAAACCAATGGCAGCGTCGATACTACTACACCAAGCAATCCAACTGAGCAAAAATCTGCAAATTAGGCAAAAACTCATTGAATATCGTCGACCTACCGTACACCGACAAACTGTGGCACTTTTACATATAGCGACGCGTCTAGCCGAGCTGAGTCGGCGTTCTGGGATTCAGAATTCGTCCATTTTGAAGCGAGATTCGGCAATGCGATGCTGTTTCCGGCGCATTCCAGCACATTCCGGCGAGCTTCGCTGCATTTCGATGCACTCCGGCTTTTTTGACGTACTCTGAGAGGTAGTGTGCGTCTTTGTCATAGCCGCATTCTCGTTTTCATTGCTAGCATTAATCGCTGTGTGAAATAATTTAGATAAAAGTACTGCACCCCATATAAACTGAAACTTACAAAAGATTCAAAGTCATGGCTTAAGCAGTGTGGTTTCGCTTGTGCAGGGTTTTTGTAAATGGTTTACAATAGTATCCATGGGACGCTGTTGCGGAGCATTACCACATTGTATGGTCTAACATGGAAAAAACGGCTTTGCAAAAATTGCGCTTTGAAGAACTGCTGTCATTGTCTTTCATGACTAGCTGAATTGGTTCCAGCTTCATGAATGGGAAACATTTACTTGAAATACGTGAAACAGGTACATGTTGTAAAATTTCATTTGTGAAGAATTCAGCGGTAAAGTTCATTTTGAGGTCAGCCATCCTTAACTTCATGTAAAATGAATTGTGAGTGATCGCATTGGCGAGTTTGATATAGTACTCAAAGGAGTAAGATATTCTTTCATCACAGAGTATCAAATTTGAATTTGACGATCTGACGATATTGGCGAGAACCGGTCCTGACTACTGGCGGCCGTCAGTCGCCAGTGTTAGCGACAGCGTTGATTGTGTACAAGGGGGGCATATAATAACTCTGGGGGGGCATACAAGGGGGGGCATATAATAACCGTTGGGCATATAATAAATTTTCACGACCAATATACATGAAAGATACATTTGTCAAATCATGGCTCGTCAATAGCGAGGCGGTAGCCAGTATTGGCAGCCGCACTTTGAATACGTGTTGACTTGGAAGCGAGGTAGCTACTTGAAGTGCAAACGATAGCGACTGGGAATCGCCTCGTTAATACAACTGATCGAAAACGTGAAGTTGTGCAAGCACAAAATTCATCTAACAAGGGAAGGATAGCAAGAACCACATTGTAGTGGCGGAACGAAATATGCATCAATAGATGCGTTTTGATGAGCTGATTCCAAATCTACCTGTCCTATCTACTACGAGCTTCTCTAGAGGAAGCTATAGGCGTTTGAATGTCCAAATTTAGCAAACAAACATTTAGTGCCACATCTTTCAAAACTACTTGTTCAAAGACGCTTACTGAAGTGTTCGGTGTATGTATGCATTTTTTTGATCAGTTTACTCACCATGCCAATTAACTACTCCTAAACTAGTTTTTAAAAGATTACGCATCAAAATCCCAACAACCTTACATCTTCAAACGCCCATAGCTTGCTTTTTCTAGAGAAGTTTATAGCAGATAGGAAAGATAGATTTGGAATTAGCTTATCAAGAGATTTGGAATTAGCTTATCAAGTCGCATCTAATGATATGTATATCATTATATATCATTATATCACATCGCCATCGCGACCTATCGCCGTATTCATCATTGATACCTTCAGGTAAATTCTACCTCCAGGTAGTTATCACTCATTATTAGCAAAATTACACTGAGATTTTACCTCAAGGTACTTTGTGAATACGAGTATCTGCTGATAATTAGCGATAAAACTACCTGGAGGTAGAATTTACCTCAAGGTATCAATGATGAATACGGCCACTGGGGTCTGTCCTTGTCGGAACAAACCGTTAAAAGCATGGGAGCCAGTTTTGGGTTATGCTTTTTTTGGCTTCAAACTCCAATGGTTGCTTATAAGCAGATGGTCAGTGGTAGAGTGGCGTTTCTAAGAAACTTATAAGTTGATAACTCCAAAACTCTTTATATCTGCTAAGATCCCATTTTGAGTAAAATTTATGGACACATGGTTGAAAGGTTTAAACCAGGTATGCACTTATATCTCCAAATTCGCAGTTTATTGTACATGACTTTTTGCAAAAAATTTCATATCTTTGTCTACAAAAGCTTTAGAAAATAAGAAGCACATAAAAGATTTGTTTAATGTTCCATGCGGCAACGAAGGCTTGCACATTTGAGAACTGCCGCTACGCCTTTGGCATCCTTTCTCTAAGTGGGGAGGGGAAGAGGGAGAGAGAGGGACTGTAACTCAGCTTTATAAAGTCCTGAGAGGCACTAAAATGAGCATGACTCTTGTTTATCGCCATGCGGCTACCGGCGGGTCACCACCCAATAGTGGTGGGCCGCCAGCGGATATGTAAGAGTAGCGCAATGAAATGAAACGGCACCGAAGGCATATTATTAGGTAATCTTTTTAAATTTACGCTATCCCTTTTTATTTTTTTGAAGTAATACAGGAGGGTATTTTGTGAAATACAGTTAATACACATCCCAGTACCGCGTATGATGCTCAAAGTCCTAATATTATGTACTAGCTGATCTGCCCGGTCCAGCCCGGGAATGATCACTGATCGGGAATGAAGATAAGGTATTCGGTGGCATTGTAGAAACTGTGTAAAGAACAAAAACAAAATGTGAACACTTATTAGTCGGTAGCATACCTCTCTTTCTCCAAATCAAGTTCAACACGCAAAACTTAAGCAAGCAGCGCGAGTTAATTGTTAGCAGCGCGCATTGTTATTATGAGGATCATTATTTGTGACACTTTGCCGTTAACCGGCTACTTCATCTTCATTCACTGCTTGCCGTCAATTTTTGTGGAGTCGGCAGTACTTTGCACTCGCGCACTTTCCTGGTCCCAGGGATCAACTATAGCGAATGTGAGTTGTCGCTTGTCTTGACATTATTTCTGGTATTAACAAATAATTTGTGCGCAATCTTATGAAAAATTTTGACCCCTCATTGTTTAAATTGAGCATGTAACGAAGAAAGCATTGATTATAAGCGTAAATTGAGCACGCTTCCATACAAAACACTCGCTACAAAGCACTCATGGTCTCTTGCACGCTAAGGTTTCCGCATAAGATACATTTAGTGCATCCATTTAAATGAGCAATTGAGACTCATATCAAGAACACTTTTCACTGCACTTCGTCAACAGAAGTTCACAATGAGACATGCCAGCCTTGTTTACATACCCCTGTTTTGATAGCAAATGATAAGAATCATTTTTATTGCAAAGTGCTGCAAATCAATAAATCGATAGAAGGACCCAACGAATCGCTGCAAAAAGTAGCCTATCATCTGCGCAAGGCTCGAAAACATATGTGTGTAAAGTTTCAGCTCAATCGGTTGAGCGGCGCGCGTTTCTATAACGCACATACCCTCCAAACTGACAATTTTTGAGTTTTATATATATATAGATGGCTGTTTCGCATACAGAAAGGCCTAGGAATGGAAGCATGTAAACTTAAGATCATTTTGATAAGAGCTGTTCGTAAGGCCCCGGACAGACTTCACGCGACTTAATCGTCGCGACCTAATCGGCAAGACTTCCATTCATTTTCATTTCACATCCAAAAATTTCGGGCTGGAAAAGTATCACAACCGAAATGCAAGTTGACGGCATGGAATGATGTTGTAACAGTTGTCTCGTCGCGATTCAGTCGCGACGATCAAATCGCGTGAAGTCTGCCCGGAGCCTAAAGCGACTGGAGCGGAACTGTATATGTTGACGCATATGAAAACCTTCATAAGATAAATAGACAAAGAGGAATAAAGATGCTTAAAGCGACAAGATATCACGCTTTCTTTCTCAGCCCTAGCCTTTTTAGTTACCGACGATTTGCGTTTATGAGAACCGTTAACCGCTGTCAAAAGGTAGACTTACTGATTAGATTTTTGCTTTCCTGGATATGATAGCAAGCGATAGAAAAAGTTGTGTGAAAAGGCACTGTATGGCAGCGGTATTTTTAGGCATATAATTGAAAATTGTTTTAAAAGTAAATCAAGAAAGAAAAAAGTTCACAGCAGGCCTGAAAGTAGCTCTTGTTAAGCATTCGAGAGTGTCTTAAGAATGTTAATGAAAAGTGCAACACACTACTCTATTCTATGCAATGTTCCAAGTACAAAACACCCAAGAAGTGTTCCAAACTTGCTTTTTTGCAATCTCGTCCGCTACAATGTCACCGTTCTACATAAAAGACGAAAGACGTTGCGATTCATTAGTGAGTTTGTGGAAAATCTCGACTTTCAGTGTGCACCATCGAAAATTCGGCTTCTTAGCTGCGCTGTGCAAGCTATTTCATCGCTGTAGCACATGCATTCACTGAAAAAAATTTTCCTTCCCTATTTTAAATTCAAATTTACCGAAAAAGTTATGTTTCCAGCTATTATCTTCATGCTGACAACGCTCAGTACTTTTGCCAACCAAGTCTCACCAGGTACGTGGCCAACTTTAGTACATGAGAAATTCCACAAACCCGGATAGGATCTTGATGCTAACACTCAAAGTGTTTTTCTGAATATTTTTAAGAAGCAGTAACACAATGCTTATTCTGTCGTATGTAATTTTTCAGAACAACAATGGGGAGGGGGAGGAGGGGGGAGGGAAGGGAAGAGGCAAGGCAAAAACTTGATTTGTCTCCCGCTCTGAGTTTCGCAGATGGGTTCTGCTCTTTCGCGAAGCAAAATAATTAGCAGCCTCGCAAATGTTCGAAGCCTTTTTATCGAAATACAGTAAGCTGCGTGCAGAAAATTAGCAGTCATTTCCTTTCGATTACCTGTTAACCCGGGCATATGTCTGGGTTTGTGCCTGCTTCTGCATTACCTCGACCCCTTTTTCTAGCTGGGTTTGCATGTAGTTCTAACAAAGACTAGTCTCTGAAACTTCCTTTACAAACAAACCCATCAATAATGTGTTCCATTAAGTAAAAAGTGAATCACTTTTAACAAAGAATCATGATCTTATATATAAAGCTGAATGTCTGTTTGTCTGTCTGTATGTCTGTGTGTACGTATGTTCCGAATAGAAAATTCCATTTCTGAACCGATCGGGACCAAACTTAGCACACATACACTTCGGGTTCCGGCGGGTGTCATAACCTACTTTTCGTCATCGATCGATATCGATTTTATCGATTTTCATCGATTTTTTTGCAGAGTTCACCTACGGGGCTGGGATTCGGCACAGAGGGGTAAGTGAGCATGGGATACCGAATACAATATCAGTTTTCAGAATTATCAATTACTTTTATCGATTTGATCGATTTTTTGTAAAGTTTGATCTGCGCGGCTGGGAGTTTGCACAGGAGGTAATCGAGCATTTTAGTAAAATATGCAACGGACACCACAGGATAGAAGTAGTTGGAACAGTTTTGCAAGACCACAATTTATAGAGAACTAGCTGGCTTACCCGGCTCCGCCGTATGTTCCGAATAGAAAATTCCATTTCTCAACCGATCCGATTTGGCAGAGGGGTGTAATCGAGCATGCTGATCACCCCCAGCAGCATGCTCGGTTACCCCCCTGTGCCAACTCCCAGCCCCGTAGCTCAAATTTTGCAAAAAATCGAAAAAATCGACATCGATCGATAACGAATAGTGGACTGTGACACCCGCCGGGGCCCGAAGTGTATGTGTGCCAAGTTTGGTCCGGATCGGTCAAGAAATGGAATTTTCTATTCGGAACATACGGCGGAGTCGGGTAAGCCAGCTAGTTCTCTATAAATTGTGGTCTTGCAAAACTGTTCCAACTACTTCTATCCTGTGGTGTCCGTTGCATATTTTACTAAAATGACTCAATTTATTGAGCCTTGCTCAACAGGGACATCTATAAACGCGAAACTAAGTGAAGTGCCTCACGCAGAAAGACGTTTCTTTGCTCCATGATTGTCATCTAAGTTGGAAATGTCACAAAGTGTTTTTATGAACAAGTTGTGTTGAAAAGTCGAAACGAAAACGCGAAATATCGAAACTTGGTGAAGTTCACGATTAATAATAAAATTTAATTTGTATGCCTACCTGTTGTGTACTTTGAGTGAAAGCAAATGCAGTTTTACTTTGCTTTTAGTGGCAGGACTCCTAAAAAGGAGAGGTGTCACATTAAACATTGTACAAGCAAATTCTTGCCGTATTCGACAGAAAAATTTGGGAATGTTATTAAGCACAAAGTAGGGACCAAGCTAATTGTTATGGAGCTAGTTGGCAACCATATAACATTTTTTGAGGGATCGCTATTTATAGGCTACTAGCTGGGATAACCGGCTCCGCCCGACCCTGTCAAGATAGTATGCTTAGTTCATTATCCCTATTCTTTTACATCTTTCCCTTTCGCTTCTACTTTCCAAATCCCTATTGTTTTCGTAGTCAGCGTGCCTCCTTGCTCCCTCCCCTGTACGAACTGCCAGTCCCGTGGCTCAAACGTTGCAAAAAATCGAAGCAATAGATGGTTTCAAAAACTAATAACGTATTCGTTGTCAGCACCCCACTTATCGCCCCACCCTGTGCCGACTAACAGCCTCTTAGGTCGAACTTTGCGAAAAATCCACCCACCCCAAAAGCGTATGTGCGCAAAGTCCGCTCTCCGAATTGGTTCTGAAACGAAAATTCCTTTGCGGAACATACGCCTGGCAAACAGGCAGGTAGACAAACACGTACATACACACAAACAGACATTCAGCTTTGCATATAAGATGGAGATGCGAAAGTCATGGCATTTTGACAAAGCAGGGTGACAAGCCTTGTTTATGTTTAAAAAAGAATTGAAAGGAGTATGATGCTACCAAAAGGGTGTGAGGAATGCGCACGCTATACTTTTGGACCTGCTACTCAAAAAATTGTCTGCCTTTCTTCGGATTTTGTGGGTAAGTTACAGTTACTCTCTCTTTCCAAATTTTGAAGCTTCCTTAGGAACTTTGAGATGGGGCGGGGACACCAAAAATGCTATACCGGATAGGGTCAAAAATAAAAATTGTCGTGAGATTTTGTATCATTTGGCAATTATTTTCCAACTTCTCATTTGTTTTGTTACAAGCTGCACTTTTTCTTCAGAAAGTGACAAAATTTGCAATATTTACAGCAGTCATTTCTTTTGCTTTTGCCTGTAGGCACAACAAAGTGTTTTATGGCGTTTATGCTTTGCTGTTGTTCACTTTTCCGTCGTTTTTACAGCAACAGGGTTGCTCAAATGTTACAAAGGACTCTTTGGGTACAAACTCGAAATTGTGGAGGTAGATTCAGTAAGTTTTTTTTGTCTTTTGATTAAAGCTAATTATGTTCTGCCATTCGTACATTTTTTTAATCCCCAATATGAAAGCTTTCCATATACATGCTCGTCAAGTTGCTGTAGAGATAACGTAAGCCACAAAAGCAATAAGAAAAATCAAACACTTGATTTTGGAAATCATGATTCCGCAAGTTGCCATGATGCTATCACTCTCAAAAATCATTCTTTTCCCTTCAACTTGTGCATATAATTGAACCTAAACATCTACACACATAAAATATATAAATAATGTTTTGGGTCTTATAAATTAGTTTAACGCCATTCCTAGATCTTTTTAAATTCATGATGGCAAAACAAGGTTTGAAAACTTCAATCAGTCTATTCCTTTCAGAAGAAATATATGTGTAGTTATGAACCAAGAGATATCTGTAGAACATACAAAGAATCGAGGTACGATACAACAACTTATGACACTTCAGTGAGTTTCACTGACGAAAACTTTGACATAATATGAATGAATTGCCACAGTTCGCAAACCAATGTCGAGTAATTGAAGGATCACCTTACTGTTACTGCACAACGAATTTATGCAATGGAAATTATAAGCTGCTGAAGGTTAGTGTATGCAGCTGCTGCTGAATTTTTTGCTACAATGACTCAAAAACTTGTGCACACTCAAACAGCAAGCAACATCTATGCTAAAAATTGTAGATTTTACAAGGAAAGTTCTTCTGTTGAAGTTGCGACACGGAAGATAATGTAATACTCATAGATACAACCTAACGCTGATGTAAGATATACCTTCCATATCTGCGATGCGCTCTTCTGAAAAAAGCTTTTCTTGTGCCAAATTTTCTTGCATTTTTTGTCGTACACTATAGTTTGCACAAAACTATGCAAGGTCAGGCAAAGCACCTATAAAGCATTTTAGGTTTAATCTGATAGCAACCGAACGTTCTTGAGTGTTGCTCATCCATACTGTGATCCAAACGTCGTCATTTTTTTAAACCACGCTTGCATTTTAAATAAAAGCCCGTCACTTTTTATACGAAGACGCTTCGCAGATACTACTTACAAGGGAACGATCCCAACTTAAGGTGGCGAATTGGAATAAACCGCATACCATTAGATGCGTCTTGATGAGCTGATTTCAAATCTACCTTCCAAATCTGCGACAACATTATCTGGAAGAAGTTATGAAAGGTTAAAAATGTGAAGTAACGGGGTTTTGATGCATAATGTGCTTTAGAATCCAACTTGGAAGTGCACGACTAGCATGATATTGAGTGTACTGATTTCAAAGAATGCTCACATTCTAAAGAAACACAAATAAGTGAACAAAAAGTAACTAAAGTTCTTTGGTAAAAGCAGTGAGCAATGAAAAGTCCAAATTTGGCAAATATACAGCGCAATATCTCGAAAATTAGTTGTTTAAAAAGACTTATTTGTGTTTCTTTAGAGTGTGAGCACTCCTTGAAATCAGTACACTCAGTATCATGCTGGTCCTACACTCCCAAGTTGGATTTTGAAGCGAATTATGCACTAAAACCCCCGTTACTTCACTTTTTTAACCTTTCATATTTTCTTCCAGATAACGTTGTCGCAGATATGGAATTTAGATTTGGAATCAGTTCATCAAGACGCATCTAATGATATGCGGTCATTTCAATTCGCCACCTTAAGTTGGGATCGTTCCCTTGTTAGATACTTAGATAGCCCGGCTTCAGGTGACGTGAAGGCCCCAGCACAAAAATTTTCATTTATCTTTGTCCCTCGCTTCAGACATCCACGATTTTCTTGTTTGACTTCAATGTCTGTGTGCACGACTTCCAGGTGCAAAAATCATGTTAATTCCTCTAAAAATAAGTTAATTTCTCAGCTGGCCAATCCATTCCACGAACACGTCTGCCCATCTCGTTGATGGTCTTCCTCGGGGGCTGGCTGGCGATCCTCTCGGATGTCCTTAGTGTCCGCCTGTCGTATGTTCTTCACTCGAGATGCACCAAAAATAAAGAGTGAGAACACAAACCAACCAAGCCATCTTATATATAAAGCTGAATATCTGTTTGTATGTATGTATGCCTGTCTGTCTGTATGTCTGTCTGTATGTATGTGCGTACGCATGTTCCGAATAGAAAATTCCATTTCTGAACCGATCTGGGCCAAACTTGGCACACATACACTTCGGGTTCCGGCGGCTGTCATAACCTACTTTTCGCCATCGATCGATATCGATTTTATCGATTTTCATCGATTTTTTTGCAGAGTTCACCTACGGGGCTGGGATTCGGCACAGAGGGGTAAGTGAGCATGGGATAGCGAATACAATATCAGTTTTCAGAATTATCAAATACTTTTATCGATTTTATCGGTTTTTTGTAAAGTTTGATCTGCGCGGCTGGGAGTTTGCACAGGAGGTAATCGAGCATGCTGATTACGAATACAATATTAGTTTTCAGAATTACTTAATTTTATCGATTTCATCGATTTTTTTGTAGTTTAACCTGCGGGGCTGGGAGTTTGCACAGGGGGGTAGTCGAGCATGCTGATTACGAATACAATATTAGTTTTGAAATCGTCCGTTACTTTTACCGATTTTATCGATTTTTTTGTAAAGTTTGACCTGCGAGGCTGGGAGTTGGCGCAGGGGGTAATCGAACATGTTGATTACGAATACAGTATTAGTTTGGCGCTATTCGGCTATCGGGGCCCAAAAGTTTTTTTTGCCGTAGAGCTTTCTCAAACTTCGTGTATGGGGGTTATCTTACGTGCTGAGAACAGATACGACACTTTCTTTGCAGAACGTCTCCCCGTGCGGTAACGGTAGGTGTACAGTAGAAAGTCAAAATCATGAATTCGGCTGGGGTTTGGTCCAGAGAATTCAACATGCTAGTTACGAATTTCATACTCTCTCTGCATATTGGGACTTTTCATAAAGTCATGGTGGTTTTACAGTATGGGATCGAAAACATAGATTTGCTTTAAACTTCGTCTAGGGTGGCCATTTAGCGCACTGAACATGAATATCATGCTGATTTCGCAGGATAGTGCATTTTCTTGGGTTACGGTGCGTGTAGATGGGTCGAAGTTTCAGATTTGCTCAAAACCTTGCCTGTAAGGTTCACAAGTATACTGCTTACGAATATGATGCTTGCTCGCTGTCATAACGCATTAGTCAAGTTATGGTGATTTGCAGGGTTTGAATGGACAGGGCCAATTTAGATCCCGGATATTTATGAAATGGGGAAACGGTCGTTTTGCATGGCGGTCTCCAGCGCCATCCTAATAAACTGTCCCAACGTGTAACGTACGCGGCAAATCTCCCTCCCCCTGTTTTTGCTTAGACAAAAGCCGTCGAAGGGTGTCTCGCACGCGGCAGTGGTCCTATAAGGAAAGCATTACGGTCGTGGGAAACTTTCATACCACACGAATTGCCGTTATCCTGAGGTTCAAACACGATATTCTTGAGACAGCACTTTAAGTAATTCCCTGCAAAGGTTTCAGGCAGGTTCATGATTTTTATCCGCTGCCACGCGAGATTGAATAAAATTACTACTTTATTCGTCATCAGCGGTATGAATAACCCCCACATACCGGGTTTGAGCAAGACCCACCACAAAAACATTTTAGGGCCTGGATAGCCGAATAAGGCCATCGGTTTTTAGATTATCCTTACTTTTATCAACTTTACTGTTTTTTTTGCAAAGTTTGAGCTACGGGGTTGGGGGTTGGAGAGGAAGGTAAGTGAGCATACTGATTACTAACACAGCGGGAGTAGGGAATTGCACGTAGAAAGTGGGCACAGGTAAAGGTGTACAGGGATAGAAATGGAACCTTCATCGTTTTTGACAGAGCCGGGCGGAGCCGGGTAAGCCAGCTAGTACTACATAAGAGAAAGAAATAAAAAAGAATCTTATTACACTCAAAAACCTCAGATCCATTAGACGGTAAAAGACGGAACAAATCTATCACAACTCATAATAACGGGCTAAGAATGTTTACGTGACTTTGTGTGTGTGTGTGTGAGAGTGTGCCTGTTACGAAATTCGTGGAGCGTGTTCCAGCCAGCGTTCTAAGCCAAAATTTTGTATAGCGCATGCTACCTTCATGAAAGTCCAACATGCACAAACACGAGTAGATTCGTTGAGTGGATCCCTCAGAAATTGCGCGCCAATCGGGTCCACCTGGCTTTTGTACCGCAAAATTCGGTCCGTATCACCACTTTTTGCAAAGTCGTGGATGAGTTTGGTAAGGAAATGTGCAAGCGATGGAGTTTAGCCCGAAAAGTGGTTGAAAGTTTACTACATAACGAAAGCGGCGCCAAAAAGAGTAGGTTGTGTAAATGGTCAATTTGCCAAGGTTCTAGCTAAGCGTTTGAGAAGATTTTCGCACAGAGATGCAGCTCACGGTTACTATTACCTTTATGGCGACACCAAGCCATGAAAAATCCAAAAATCTATTCAAATTTGCGTTTGTCTTCCTGCGAAAAGTTTCATCCACGCGAAATCACCGATCTCACGTGAAAAGACTTTTTAAATGAGTGGTTGTTTATATTTTATTCGTGAAAGTCGGCATAGCGCGCTGAGCTCCACTGCCACGATTTTACGCACTGGTATTACATAAGGACAATAAATTTATTTTGAAAGTTATCAAAGCTCTGATCAGATGCATTCTCGGAGATCAAAATAACGGGGTATGATTGGATACGACCCATCACTCTCAGCGTTGGGCTTTGGCGGATGGTACTAGGCGATTTGACAAAACCCATGCACACCTAGGACTTTCTCAACTACATTAAACCAAAACATAAACATCCATAAGCAGAGCCCTGAAAAAATTCAGTGAAGAAAATTGACGAAGGGTTTAATTCACAACCAAGACCAAGATGTTCAGAAAAATCAATGCTTGACAAAGCTTTTTTGAATGAGTGGCTTGTTTTAGCAGCTAAAAGTTTTGAGGTAATCTAAGGAACCACTGAGTACAGTGATAAAAAAGCAATTGAAGAGTTTTGCATAGACATTTTGAATCTAAAATTACGGAGATTGAAACCTCCAAGTCTGCAGTTTATTGGTGTGAACCCAGAAACTGCTGGCCTGGAGGTCAATCTCCTTGTGCAAATTTTGAAAGCAGAAGGTCGAATCAGCCATAAGTCTCCTACACTTGAGCGATTTCAACCCCGTCATCTTGAGGCGTTCTTTGTAATCAAGCAATGTCTCATAGGAGCTTTTGTGAGAGATTTAAGAGATTAGCACACGTCTTAAAATTCGTTGAACTTTTTCAACAATCAAATTATCTTTATTGAGCGTTGGTCTCCAACCTGAGAGCAGTATTCCAAATGTGGAATCCCATATGCGTTATAGAATGAGTCATTAACTCAGCACTCCTTAATGATTACACCACCTGGAATTCAGCCGCTGAAAGGAAAAAGTTTTGCATTGAATACAGCATGAGGCGTTTGTTTGCATTCACTGTGCGAGATTTGCGGACCATTTCAAAAAACTGTCGAAATTTTGAACCGCCATGATGCATCACTTTAGTTCACCTAGGACTTTGCTAATTGTGGGATTCAGCTAGTATTTATCCAAAAGCGGCAAATTGTTTGTAGAAAAAGATCAAAACATGCGATTAGAATTGCGCCATTAGAGTGTGAGCTAAAATCAATGTTTTCTTCAATATTGAAGCGACATGGGAAATTAGATCAAAAAATGTGTTTATTAGTACGATTAATGAGAGACCTGGTAAGTCTCTCATTAAGCTTGATAAAGAGATGAGCTTATTGCTGTTAACTCAAACGTCCATAAATTCCCTCGAAATCCGTTGACTATTCGAATAAGTTCAGTCAACTATCGAAAATGAATGGATTGCCAAGTCTTATCAAGCAATGAGTGCTGAGCCGCTGAGCTCAGTGGTGAATGGTTGTCCTAAAACTGCAGCCCTTTCGCTTTTGTAGATTCTGCGAGTGACTTAGTCTAGTGTTCACTGCACAAAGGGTTACATGTTCAAAACTCGCGAGTAGCGCCGTAGCATTTTTATTTCTGACGCCACAGATTTTTCAAAAAAGCGTTTTACAGAAAAGGAATGCACTTTCGAAATCAGCATTTATCGCTCACTGTAGCAACACACACACCTCTCCTCAGACGGTCATCTCCAATAGGAAAATACGCTTTTTGAGTGGATTGCAGATTTGAACTAATCAAAAGTTTGAATCAGCGGAGCATTTCGACAAATATTTATTATGATTTTTCCCACAATAAAAAACTTCTATAATAAACTTATCTTGGTTGATTCATACGTGTTACTCCTTGGTATTCAGAGTTTATGGCAAAAAAGCGATATCAAGAGCAAGAGAGTTCGCAGATGTGTGCACACATATTTAATCATGAGTAAGGTTGAGAGTAAACGTATATAAATCAAGCATAGACTTTTAGTGATAAATGCTTTTCACAATGCCACTCATTACCAAGCAAATATTGAGCAAATGACGACTATCGCATTCGAAGCTGACGATTATGAAGAAGAATCTACGCTACTATGGGATGATGCATCTGCGGAAAGTCTTGAGGTAACCAAACTTGAACCACAGGTAAAAATGGAGCGGCTTTGGCAGACGTCGGAGGTAGACGGCAACGCCCTCTATTGACAAAAAAGCATCAAGCTTGTGATTAAAACCTGCTTTGTTTGATTCAAACTCAAAGCACAGTTGCTGTTTTTTGTCAGCATTTATCAGACCGGCGCAATGGCCGTCAGCTCCTAGATTTCCCGTAAGCGATTAAGGGCCGCTCGGTCTTACAAATCAGAGATTACCCCAAACCCATCTTACTAGACAAGGGCAACTTTACCATTTGGAGTGTTGCCATTACATTGCAAAAATCAGGCCGTTGCGAAAGTTGTGTACAATCTGCAAATTTCTAAATCTTGTTATAAACTTTCCGCAATTATCATTCTCAAACAAACTAAATTTTGCTGAATAAAGCGAGTTCATGGCTTTTAAAATTACGTAATGAGCATGTGAAGAGAACAAGTGAAAGAGAGAGAAAAATAATTAAGTTTATGCTTTTTCTTTCAAAGCCGCATGATTTACACCAATGCTTTCAGGTACGAATAGGCAGACATACAATACCATCTGTGCCGCCTTTAAAATTTCCGAAATAAACGCGATGTCGCGTTGAAAGCGCCGCAACTTCGTAACTTCCTTCAAAATCATTTTTGAGCAGAGTGGAACACAGATTCGGAATCAGCGTCCTACAATCTATCTAAATCCATAAATTTTATTTTTCGGAAACACAAATTTTTCACAATACTGGTGACGTCACGGTAAACAGCCACGGTCACAGGCTTTTTAGCTCTTAAGTCGCTGTATGGCTGTATTCAATGAGATTTGCGAGTATAAATCATTAAATACATCGAAAAGATCTTATTCCCTGTTTTTCCACGTAGTTTTGGCGGTCTAAAACTTTTTTATTTCAAATATAAAAAATTTATTTTAGGCCGTGAGGTTCAAACTTTGAAGGTTCGTAAAATCATGAATTTGTCTTCTTAGACGTACTGTTCTACGCTAGCAGGTAAAACAGAAAATTCTCTATAGGAACGGTATAAATTCACCTACTTGTATGGGTTTTCACGCGAGATATCTGAGCCCGAACCAAGGTGCTCATGCTGCCAGGTGCACTGATTGCCTGTGGGACCATTTTCAAAATACCGTATCTTAAGGATGGTCATGATCACGTGCCAAAGTTTTTGCATAATGATAAAATAGACTATGGTAATTAAGATCTGCATGTGTATGAGTGCTCGTCAAGGAAACTAACCGCACTGGGAGGAACGAAAAATGCAGAATTGCAGAATTACGACTTGATTTTTACCATTTTTTGGAATCTCACCAACCATCACAATTTTTGAATATTCGGACTCTACATGCGATAAGCTTTGAAAAAAAATATATAGTTTGCTCTCTCTATCAGCATAGGAAAAGGAGTTGATTTATTATATGCGTCAATTTAATTCACTAAGGGAGCTCGGGTGCACCTGCACCCAGCTGTGGCACAGGTATGTTCGCACCTCGCAGTAGCAATCTGAGGATATCTGAGGCTACTGCGAGGTGCGAACATACCTGTGCCACATCTGGGTGCAGGTGCACCCGAGCTCCCTTAGTGAATCAAATTGACGCATATAATAAATCAACTCCTTTTCCTATGCTGATAGAGGGAGCAAACTATATATTTTTTTTCAAAGCTTATCGCATGTAGAGTCCGAATATTCAAAAATTGTGATGGTTGGTGAGATTCCAAAAAATGGTAAAAATCAAGTCGTAATTCTGCAATTCTGCATTTTTCGTTCCTCCCAGTGCGGTTAGTTTCCTTGACGAGCACTCATACACATGCAGATCTTGATTACCATAGTCTATTTTATCATTATGCAAAAACTTTGGCACGTGATCATGACCATCCTTAAGATACGGTATTTTGAAAATGGTCCCACAGGCAATCAGTGCACCTGGCAGCATGAGCACTTCGGTTCGGGCTCAGATATCTCGCGTAAAAACCCATACAAGTAGGTGAATTTATACCGTTCCTATAGAGAATTTTCTGTTTTACCTGCTAGCATAGAACAGTACGTCTAAGAAGACAAATTCATGATTTTACGAACCTTCAAAGTTTGAACCTCACGGCCTAAAATAAATTTTTTATATTTGAAATAAAAAAGTTTTAGACCGCGAAAACTACGTGGAAAAACAGGGAATAAGATCTTTTCGATGTATTTAATGATTTATACTCGCAAATCTCATTGAATACCGGCCATACAGCGACTTAAGAGCTAAAAAGCCTGTGACCGTGGCTGTTTACCGTGACGTCACCAGTATTGTGAAAAATTTGTGTTTCCGAAAAAAAATTCATGGATTTAGATAGATTGTAGGACGCTGATTCCGAATCTGTGTTCCACTCTGCTCAAAAATGATTTTGAAGGGAGTTACGAAGTTGCGGCGCTTTCGACGCGACATCGCGTTTATTTCGGAAATTTTAAAGGCGGCACCGATGGTATTGTAGTTGGCTGCTATCAGTGTGTAATCTATGCTATAAAATATTTTGTGGCTGAGGGTATCCAAGTGTTGTTTTTTCTAAATAGAAAATTCTTTGGAGCAAATCATAAAAAGCCTCGTTTGAGCCCTCCTCTGCGCAAGTAGGCTCATTTTCAACACTTATTTTTAATCTTGCTTCAGCAAACGGAAACTATTTAGGTGGTGATCGGGACTGAGAGTGAGGTTAGGCGCGTCCGACCTGGGAAGGGGGGGGGAGGTCGTGTCAAGAGATGAGTAAAAGGAGAGGTCGTAATAAGGAATAGTCACTCAGAAAATTGAGCAAATACTGAGGAAGAAATGGCTACAACAGTAAATGTGATACTTGCACCAGAACTGAAAGGATGACGTATACACTGATTAGCTCCTCCATCGAAGTTCAGCGAACTTCAAAGTTTCATTATTTACCCTACACATACAGTAAGGTTACCAAAGAAGTTTGCTATTAAAATGGTATGATTTCTGTAAGCGCCTGTCAAATTACCTGCATAAGCCCTACAACGAGATCGCATGCCGTTTTTCGCTATTCACAACATCTTGAAAGCGTCATTTTCAAACGTGATTAACATGGTTCCAGAAGTAAAAAAGCCAGCGTTTCATCCTCATAGTAAGATCTTCTAGTACTTTAGGTTAGAAGTTAAGCTTTTTATCGCATTCAATTAGTGAATTTGGAATTGCTGCCAAAATTGTAACTAGTCTTTTCATCTTAAGTGCTGCAACTCCATGGACCACCACACATCCAAAACAGGTCGAGATAAGCTCAAATAAGTTTTACAAAATCTACGGGTTTGTGCTAGCAAATTACATAAAAATCTGGTAAAAAAGCTCCTCTGGGAATAAAGTTAATGGGGTCAGGCACAGCCCCTCAAAAGCTCAGGCCGCCTGAGCTTTTGTAGCCTTGTGTGCCTGACCCCCTTAACTTGCCAAAGTTTGGAAATGGCCCCTTTTTGGCACGAGTAATGAGCTCAAAGCCTTTTTTGCTACATTAAAGATTTGGAGCCAAACCCACCCATCCGAAAATTATTGCTTTGAGAAAAGTGTCATTCACGCAAAAAATTCGCCTCAGTTTGCGTGTTTTGGGTCATGTGCAAACGCAGAAAGTCGGCCGTACAGTTCCAAAATTCAGGAGATTTCTACTAAAGGCTTATATTCGAAAGTAACAGCCTGAGGCTTCGGAGGTAAGGGGTTGCGGCGACGGAGGGGGGCGTTTTCGAAAGACTTGTGCCTTACCTTTTGCTCAAACCTAGTGGTAATTTTAATCAATATTGAATATGTCACTAGTCGCCAACGGTAGGTTGTCATCTGTAGAATAACTAAGAAATTCTTTAGTTTTTTAAAGGCAAGTCTGGAAAGCAGGGCATTTCTGTGTGGTAGTAAAAGTGCGCATGTGTTAGCCCCTGGCTTGAACTGAATCTTTGTCACTGGGAGGCTGTTCCGTCGTAAATTAGCAAGCGTTGGAAGAAGCAGATGAGTTTTTTCTTAGATGGTGTTAATGGTGCTGCGATAAATGCAAAAACTCAGGAAAGTAGCTGCACTAAAACGAGGCAACTAAAAATCAGACATTTGAAACTACCTAGTACATAACTAACATGAACCCATGTTTCATTCAAGGTGATACAGTGCTGGCCATAATCATAAAGCCACTCTAGAAATCGTCGTAATTTTCGTTCTTGTCAATGAATCTGTCTGAAACTTTGCTGCATTGTGCGCATTTCAACCTTCCATGACCTCTCAAAACGGCTTCCAGTCTTGTTGAATCTGAACGGAGAAAAACGAAAAAATTCGAAAAAGCCCTCTCTGAAAGCTGGACAAAATTATAAAGCCACTCTGTTTTTTTAAATCATTATCGCATTCGTTGACTCTTAAGTCTTTTTTGTACAATTACATCCTAAAATATGAAACATTTGACACCTACGGCTTGTCATCCTACTTAAATAGAAGCGATCACTGCATTTTTGCTTTCAAAAGCATCAAAAGTCAATCTGCTTCAACAAGAAATGGTTTGAGAAGTTTTTGAGCTCTTGTTCATTTCAAGTGCTAGTCATGAAGTTCATCGACTTTTCTGGACAAATAAGGTGAAGGGCGCTTTTGTAAACTCTGCGTGATTGCCGAAATGAAAGGACAGACTCCAACCTCACCAGAGGATTGAAAATACTGTAACGTAGCCATTACGACAGCCATACAACAGTGAACTTGTGTGCATGACTAGGAAAAAATTTCGGGATTGAGCACTCTGGTTCAGCAGCACTTGACATTCACTGAATTTTAAGTGGACACCCTGCACAATCAAAGCTAACTCAGATCACGAGATAGAACAAGAGACGTTTGGAACTTCAAAATGTTAGCTAATCTCATTCATCGGGTAGAATATGACATGAAGCACAGGAGAAATAAGAAGATCTAAGGTTATATCGAATCTTTTGCTCGCAGGGAATTTTCGTGAAAAATTTTGCAGATCTAAATCGCTACTGCATCACTAGGGAAAGCCGTTTTGAGGGTTAATGGAAGGTTGAAATGCGCACAGTACAGCAAAGTTTCAGACAGATTCATTGACAAAAATGAAAATTACGACGATTTCTAGAGTGGCTTTATAGTTAAGGCTAGCACTGCATTATTAGGTTGGCACAAAAGCTGTCGCACCATATTCAAAAATTCATAACTTCTGATTTTTCCAACCGATTGAACTGCTTTTATTTCCATGAGAGAATTAGTCACGCTTTTTATAATGACATTTTAGCTGCTTGCTAATCTTCATCTGTTGCCTAGATGGGAGCGGTAGATAAAAATTAGTCAAAATTCGTTCTGTGTAGGGTCATGAAAAGTAGGAGACTTGCAACAAAATCGGAGCAGTCGGTATTGTAGGTTTCTTCTTTCTAACAGTGCAAAGTTTGCGCCGATTGAGCGTCTCTATGAAAAGTTACGATTTTCGGGCAAGCAATACAGAAGGGCGAATTTAATTTATTTTGGCATTTTTCAGGGAAATCATAACTTTTCATAGAGACGCTCAATCAGCGCAAACTTTGCACTGTTAGAAAGAGCTGGTGAAGGAACCCACAATATCGATTGCTCCGATTTTGTTGCAAGTTTCCGATTTTTTGTGAGTCTATACAAAAAATTCGAATTTAGACTAATTTCCTTCTATCGCTCCTATCTATGCAACAGATGTTCATTAGTCAGCAGCTAAGACGTCATTATAAAGAGCATGACAACTTTTATACAAAAATAAAAACAGTTAAATCGGTGAAAAATCAGAAGTCATGAATTTTGAAAATGGTGAGACAGAACTTTCGTGCCAACCTAATACGTTACTAAGATCTAGAAATCAAATCGCATCTTCTCACATGGCGCAACGAAGGCTTTTCATATAAAGTAATACTAATTTCTTTCTTTAAAATTTTTGTATAGTACCTCTGCAACACGCGTTCATTGCCACAATATTTATTGAATAAAGCAAGCAATGATGCACGAAATTTCCACACAAGTTCATCAATATAATCTGCATTCAAGGGAAGTATTTAAAAAGACAAGGACTCGAAGTTGAAAAAACTCACAAGGGAACCGTGTCGAGTCGAAGTGGCCTTTCCAGATGAGACCCATACTGCTTTGAAGAGCATTAATCGTTAATTCCAAATCTGCTTTCCAAATCTGCCAAGCGCCTCTGTACGCTGAGTTATGCTCGTTTTTCAGATCAAAAAATTGAACGCAAAACTGAAGCAAAATCGCCCAAATTTGCTCAAATGTCTAGTATCAGAGCTGTTTATGCAATGGATCCATTTTATTTGATATGCTAATACTTAACATTGCTTTATCTGAGCGCTGGAAAGATTGTAACAATCATTTTCCCCTAAATTCTGCATTCATTTTTCGTTCCGAAGAACGGTCATAACTCGGCGTCCAGAGGCGCTTGGCAGATCTAGAAGGCAGATTTGGAATCATCGCTTAATACTCTTCAAAGCAGTATGGGTATCATCTAGAAAGGCCACTTCGACTCGACACGGTTTCCTTGTCAGGTAAAGTAAGCATGTATTATTGTCAAAAACCAAAATTTTCTGTATCCTCGCCGTATAGCAAATACAGGTAGGACGCTATCCTTAAGACAAAAAAAAAGTCAAAACAATGAAGTAACGCAGATTTCACTTTCAAAACACACTATGACGTGCAAAATTAATTAGCCAGAGCATGACCATGGTTACCCTATTGAAATCCGATTTTCACTATACTATTACAGATACGACCACAAGACTTCCTCTTATCACTAGCTCCTTTTCTTTTGCTTTTTTATGCTTTCAAAGGTAATGTATGCGAGGAACTATGTGCGTGGGCAACCGCTTATGTCTAAGTCAAGATTTTTCGGCTTCAACGGTAGATAAAATATTAGTTTCTCTTATATTTTTTCTACAAATGCTTTTAAATCGAAAAAAGTGTAGTAAAATGTCAACTTAAGGGTTTTCATTTAGAGCTTAGTCAAAGCTTTACCTATAAGCAGTATGCACCCTTATCTTCGTTTTCCAAATTGTTGATAGCCTGAGGCGTTTCCCGTGTTTCTGCTTATAGATAGAAGTGCAAAATGTGCGAGGCCCTCAAAAATCCAATTTCTGGGAGTCCCTATACTGAATTCACAGCTATTTCCAGTATGGATGGGCGGAGCTCGAAAGGCTAACCAATCAATAATTATATCTCAACTGTGCTATAAAATCCTAAGTGAAAATGAATATGTAGCATTTCTGCAGTTTTTTACAATCAATTGATAGCAACAGTGCTTGCCTGTGAAAGTAGCTCTCCTGCTAACTAATTGATGAGCGCTTGTTGAGAAATTTATCTCAAACAATCAGCAATACTCGGGAGCGCACCTAGTTGAACTGTATCAATACCCTCTGCAATGCATGCAAGAAGTTCCGCCTGCAAAATTTCGACCACTTCCCCAAGTTGATTGATTGCTGGTAATAAAGCAAGACCGCGCGATCCGCTTACCCTGCGACTGTCGGTAATTTCAAACTGTTGTTTGACTTTCTCAAGAAAGTCATCACTAAGACTCTCATTCTGTGCTTGGAATAAATGATTCCTAAAAGGCAAGAGCTCACGTCCACTTTATTTAACAAGATCCTCCAACGAAACAGGAATAGCACATAGCAATTATACTGATTTAGGTGACTTCGTCTACATCTTCGGAAAACTTGGTAAAGGTCGAGAACAAAAATGCAGGTGTGTCAATACAAAGCTGTAAGTTATAAAGAGGCGATATTGACTCAGAAGACACTATGATTTGAAATACCGTGTTACCGCGCTGTGGAAGTCCTTGGCCAGGTTTTGGCGCTGGTGACTCACGGACAGGCTGGACATTGTTATGGGGTAAAAAGCATGAGGGGTCTCGTTTTGTGGGCTTCGAGGCAGAGCCCTGGAAAATGCGTCAGCTTTGCATAATGCGTATGAAAAATTATCAGTTGCTTTGTGCGAATTTGGTGTCTCAGAAACGATGATTAATTTCAGAAATAACCGTCTGATTATGCAGAGCATCTAAACTTGGTTTTATCTAGAACCAAATGAATTTTTGCTCTGCCAGCCTTATCGACACACCATGATAATCACCATGCTCTAATTCGTGCAATATTTATTTTTCATCGGATTCATACACAAGATTAACCGAGTAAAAATTTTGGAGGATTAGCAAACTCTGAATGAAGCCCTTATCACCCAAAGCCCTTATCAACCCAGCGAATTTTTGCAGCCTTCCCCTTATGTGCAAACTTATCCCATCACCACTGTCACATCAGTGACTTCAACTTTTATTCCACCTCCTCATCCCCGAAGACGTCTCAAGCGCTCGTCACCCTAACCGATCCCATTCTCTGCCTTTTCTTGCTCCAATATGCTCTACGTGCAAGCGCTTCAAAAATGTGCCCCAAAATATAATAGGCTGAACCGAAAGTTCTGTCGTTTCATTTTCAAAAATTTGTAACTCCGGGAAATTTCAACGGATTTGCTTGCTTGTAATTTTACTAGAAAGAACAGGTCTTTCGCTTCCAAATTTCGTTCCGTGGAGCTTCTGTTTCATACTGGGTGTGGAGATAAAAATGGAAAACTAAGACCTTATAAGCTTTGACCATTTTGAGTTAGGTCACCAAAAATTTCTTTTTTATCTCCGCACCCAACGTGAAACAGAAGCTCCACGAAACGACATTTGGAAGCGAAAGACTTGTTCTTTCTACTAAAATCACAAGCAAGCAAATCCGTTGAAATTTCGCGGAGTTACAAATTTTTGAAAATAAAACGACAGAACTTTCGGTTCAACCTGATATATAAAGCCTGTTTACAACGATGATATGTACTTTGGCGTGTGGATGCGCAAAAGGGAGTTGGAATTATAACAAGGATAATAACAAAGCTGTGTGGACTAGTCGTGGCAACTTTTTTCAGGCTTAGGGCTTTTAAGCCATTTGGGCAAGTAGTGATCTCCCTCGACCTGGCAGCATGTCTCGCCGACAAGTCGCCGACACCTTGCCGTGAGGTCTACAAAAACTAAGATTGACGCTTAAGTCATCTAAAGCTTTCTTGCAAAAGATACCTATATAAAGGTGACACCATAAGTGTGAAGAAACCTGTATCAAAACTGGGATTTCAGAAATCTTCCTACGGAAAAATGTTGAAAAGGCCAACAGAAGGTGCTTCTGGCAACTTCGAGAGCGTTTCGGCAACCTACCGGCAGCTCGTCGTAGTCTGCAAATGGCAGCTTCCAGCAAGTCAGAAAGCACGAAAAACAGCGTGCTTTCTTGTGAGAACCAGATGGCAACTCGACGCAGTAGGGCCCAGGGCCCGGCACGCGTTGGTTTGAAGCGTTTCTGGAAACGAAGTCCCCCATGACTTCGCGAAAATTTACGAAGTCCCTCTTGACGTAAAAATCAGTAGGGAAACCCTTAATTAGTCAAAATAACATTAAAAAGGCTGAAAAAGCGCATTTTGAGGCAACTAATACAACAAAAAAGCAAAAAGAAAACATTTCGAGTTGGTTAAAGGCTCTGTCATTGGGTAGTGTACCATTTTAGCGCTCAGAATGTCGTGAACCTCCTAGGCCAACCAAATCTGTGGCCTCAACAATCTGGCAGTGCATTTTTCGCCACATAGTTCAAAGGACACCGCGTGTGATTGGAGCGCAATATCTATCAAGGCGTATAGACTTGCACTACTTTTGGCTCAAAAGAAGAGGAGAAACATTAGTTTGATTCGCTTTCTTCACTATATAATAGATTTTTGAGCGTTCTAATCGTCCAAATCAAAAAGGTCCAAAACTTATGTGAACTCTCCGAAATTTATGCTCCGAACCAACGTTGGTTCGGTGGTTGGTCTAGAAACCAACAAATCCGGAACGGGTATTCAGACACATAAGTTTTGGGAACTTTTTACATAACATAGTTTGGAGTGATATTGTATACTCATAGCTCAAATTCGGAGCCATGTGATTGTTTGTGCGCTGTAAACAAGCCATTTGTTTGTTTGAGTCTTGCATTTGAAATTCGCGCGCTTGCGAAAGAACACGTTCGAAAGAACGTTCAACTCGTGAAACCTGACATGTTCTTCGTGTTTTTTGGCGCTTTCTCCAGGACCTCATAAAAACGATGTCCCCGTTGCTCCTAACTCCAAAAACGAAGTCCAGTTTGACCCCAAACCATCGGTGCCGGGCCCTGGTAGGGCCTCGTGGAGATGCTGGCACCTTGCTGGCGGTCTGTGAGTCTGGGTAGTACCGCAAACAGAACTTGTGTCAGGCAAAGAGTTCAAAAAAATCGCTTCCCGTCATAAAACTATCATTTTTGTTAAGTGTGGGTTTTCCGCGTGCAGACAATGATGCTTACGTTGGAGAAACCAGCAATATTATACAATACCGCTCACATTTTTGAAAAATAGACGCGAATGTGTGGACATGTCCGTACATGTCCGTACATGTCCATACATGTATGGACATGTCCATACGTCAGCGTCGCGTGGCCATATCTCGCTTCAGAGTGGACGAATTCTGAATCTAAAGCAACCGTTCGATTCAGCTCGGCGCGGAGAATCTTCTGATATATTGGAAGTAAGGATGCGATGTCTTCTATATTCCGTTTCCAGTTTTTTCAAATTCTTCTGCGGAGGTCCTTTCGCGAATATGTGACGCAATGCCTATCCAATATAGAAGACTTTACTAAGTATTGTTCGATAATACTGTTCTTGTGGATTATTGTAAGCTGAAAAGTAAGCTCAGACTTCTTTACAAAGGAGATAGAAGCGTTGGTGAATTTTGAAAAAAATTACGCGCTCTTAAATTCTACTTGCCATAACTTCCTTCAGGATAAGTATATTTTGAATCCGAAAACAGCGCCTTGCTCAGCTCATCAAGACGAACTTCTTATATACAGCATGTCCTTGATATTTCGATTTCAGTAATCTTGAATCTTTCTGAGTACGTCTTTTCGCGAAGGTGTAAAGCAGCGAGCATTGTCCCAAATCATTCCAACAAGGATGTTTCGATAGTACTTTTTCTGTAGATTATGATGTGCTAAAGAGTAACCGAAGATTTCTTTTCAAAGGAAATAAAACGGCTGGTAAATTGTGGAAAAATCTTGTCGTCCAAAAAATTCTACTCGCCATAGCCCCAGGATACGAAGCTATTTTGCTAAGCAGATGTGAGTTTCGAAATCAGCAGGTCGGATAGCCTCTACAAGCAAGTTTTCCGACATGTTCGGGTTATTTCATTTTTTCTCGTTTTACGCTCCGGAAGCTCGCCGACGGATTTTGGTCAAAATGTTGATGCTCTTGAATTGTAAGGAAACTTCGCTTATAGAGGTTTTCGAGTACGCTCTTTACGAAAATCGTGGTCTTTGAAGATCACAGGATATTTTTGGAGAGATACGGTGAGGTGGTTGTAACTGCATCACGAAAGTGCGTAACTTTGCCTGCACTTCTCGCGTATCTGTCAGAAAACTTGCCTGCGTGCTTTTTTAAGTCAAAGTTACTAGGAGTTGTGCTATCGAATGGTGCATGACTCAGGCTCCATTCTGTGAGATTCGGCGAGTTACGAGCCTACGAAAACACGTCCTTATGAATTTTGCCCAAAATGTAAAGATCGCATATTTCGTCGAAATTCCTCCGTGAGCGCTTGTATGACGCTCGTTGCAGATATTACGTTCGCTTCGTCCAACGACTTCCACTGTATTGAATATGGTTCTTGCGTGCGCTTCAGCTGCTCAATTGAATATCAAAGTTATTTCGTGGCTAGAGCTCAAAGCACCAAATCTAACACAATAAGATCCAATAAAATGTGGAAGGATTTGATCAGCGTGTTGTACAAGCGCTCATGGAGGAATTTCGACGAAATATGCGATCTTTACATTTTGGGCAAAATGCATGAGAACGTGTTTTCGTAGGTTCGTAACTCAATGAATTTTACAGACTGGAGCCTGAGTCATGCACCATTCGATAGCACAATGCCTAGTAACTTTGACTAGAAAAGAACGCAGGCAAATTTTCTGACAGATACGCGAGAAGTGCGGGCAAAGTTACTCACTTTCGTGATGCAGTTACAGCCACCTCACCGTATCTCTCCAAAAATATCCTGTGATCTTCAAAGACCACGATTTTCGTAAAGAGCGTACTCGAAAACCTCTATAAGCGAAGTTTCCTTACAATTCAAGAGCATCAACATTTTGACCAAAATCCAACGGCGAGCTTCCGGAGCGTAAAACGAGAAAAAATGAAATAACCCGATCGAAACATTCTTGTTGGAATGATTCGGGACAATGCTCGCTGCTTTACACCTTCGCGAAAAGTACTCAGAAAGATCCAAGATTACTGAAATCGAAATATCAAGGACATGCTGTATATAAGAAGTTCGCCTTGATGAGCTGAGCAAGGCGCTGTTTTCTGATTCAAAATATACTTATTCTGAAGGAAGTTATGGCAAGTAGAATTTAAGAGCGCGTAATTTTTTTCAAAATTCACCAACGCTTCTATCTCCTTTGGAAAGAAGTCTGAGCTTACTTTTTAGCTTACAATAATCCACAAGAACAGTATTATCGAACAATACTTAGTAAAGTCTTCTATATTGGATAGGCATTGCTTCACATATTCGCGAAAGGACCTCCGCAGAAGAATTTGAAAAAACTGGAAACGGAATATAGAAGACATCGCATCCTTACTTCCAATATATCAGAAGATTCTCCGCGCCGAGCTGA